AGGAACCATTTATTAATAAAGATAAATCTGCTTTAAGTATGTCTGGAATGATGGACGTCTACCAACTTGTGCATCAGACTGATGATATCACGAAACATCAATTTCATGCAATGTCAATCAATGTAGCCTACTTTCATACTTCACAGTTAACTCCATGGTCACTCAAATCCCGTGGCTCGTCGTTGTCATGTTTGAGCTGTACTTTACATTTTTTCAAACACCCCTGCATAATGTGGAATTATGTGGCACGAAGTGGGCCTATGGATCGTTTTTGCTAAACTGTTGTTTCAAAAAAATGTATGTTTTCGCAACTGATAGAAAAATTTTACAATTTTATGTATTCAGGTATACCTGGAAACTTGGAAGACGTTGTTAGAAGGCTATTACATTTATTCTATTTTTTTTTTAATTTTGCTTTCGAGTCAATTTTTTTACCCTAAATTTTGCTGGTTTTTATAAGTACAATTTCATACGGCATTATGTAGATTTTTTAGCATGTGGTAGGAATTTAGCTGACATTGCGGCTGACATGTTAGTGATTTAATCTTCATGTTGATATAATCGAGAATTTTTTTCTCGTTTTATCAACTAGAATAATTTTAAGTTCACAGGATAGTTACTTCATACAAGTCTTTAAACTGAACTTCAATAAGGAAGTGCACCAGATCTAAAACGGTGCATTTTTGTATTTGCATTCACATAATTAGCCATCTTCTCGCTACGTAGCAATCTCTACAACGCGCATTTCTTCCCTAACATACACAGACAAATAAAATTCGGACATAAGAATGGACCTTTCCGATGCAAGGCATAAAATGATAGATTGAGTACTCAGCAGTGAAATGTTTTAAAAAATCCAATAAAGAAAATTGGGAAGTGAATATGCGGATATGGAGCTAAATTTCGATAAGAATGTTTCTGAATTTAATATAAATCTTGTCGTTCTTAGATTAAACAATAACAAAGGTATCATCTATCACCACAATAATTCGGATATTAATCAATATAACACTGGTCTTGAAATCAGAAACTTATTAGATTAAACAATAACAAAGGTATCATCTATCACCACAATAATTCGGATATTAATCAATATAACACTGATCTTGAAATCAGAAACTTATTAGATCAAACAATAACAAAGGTATCATCTTTCACCACAATAATTTGAATAATATTTGATATAACACTAATCTTGAAATTTGAAACTTATTGCACAATTTAATAATTTGTGAGGAAATTACCTTTACCTTGTTGAAATTCAACTATTAGTATTTATAGAGCCAAAACGATAATGGTATGAACTGTAGGCTTACTATATGTTGTTTTACATAAAGTACAAGTAGTATTGTCACATTGTATTGTTTACTCTTTGCCACTGTGTATGTTAGATCAGAAGACCCAAGATTCCGTTATTTTTTGAAAACAGCAACTTGACACTTTGAATAGCAGGAGCATCAGACACAACTAAAAGTCAGCTGACCTCCAGTCCAACGGCGAAGAAGATAACGAAAAAGCAATTTTCCATCGCACGTGTAGTAAATGATCTGGGTTTTATAATACAAATTCGGATGTTAACACAATACTCATAACCGGCAAAACACTATCGAATACGGGGTCAGTAATACAGTATATAAACACAAAAGGGTGCTCCTGAAGTATGCGCACCAAGATGTCGCATAACCTGAACCCTAACCTGGTACACAACCTGCGTTCAGGTTGTGAGCATCAGGAGGTCCCACAAAAGATATACACACAACATAAACACGGACATTATGGTCCGTGACCGTGGCAATATGACTATTGTCGTTTAAAATACATAGTGGCAGGGGTTAAAGTTGAATTGACGGCAAATGATGTATGGCTCACCATACAGATCAGCGTTTACCGTTACATTGCGCTTGGCCTGGGAACACTGGTTCTCAACCTTTTTCCTTCGTGGCCCATTTTTGTTGCGCAAAATATTTGTTGGCGATTAAGATTTTATGTAAAGAAAAAATAATTCTTCCCGCAAAAACAGACAATTTCACTTTAATAATTAGAATAAAAATTTCCACCTTGTATATAGGACAAAAAACAGCATCATCGATCCTTGCTACTACCATCTAATTTAACTATATTTAGCAATCTTTGATAGGTTTGCGGCCCAACTGGAAAAGTTTGTGTGGCCAAGCAGTGAGCCACTGGTTGAATTACAATGGCCTAGAATGTTCTCAATGCTTGGATTACTCGTTTTTTGGGTTATGAACGGGGAGACCATGAGTGCCAAAGCCTCTGGGAGGGTTTTTGATAATCTATCGCCCTTTGCTTTATACGCGATGTATTTCACATCGCAAAATTCGACTGTTATTTTAGTATCTGGATAGAGAATAAACTTTCACATCCCGTTAAAAGGGTTCGAGTTGGGGTTAAAGCAAACACAAATTGTATGTTCCCACGTTGAGTGCGAACTTTGTTATATTATGAATATTATTCAATTTTCTCTTTTCAGATTGTACTTTGACGGTACTGAACTGTGTTGCCAGATTTAGCACTTTGAAAAAAAAAACTTGTCTGGCTTATGTGGAGACGTTTGTTATTGGACACGGAGTGGACCTATGGATCGTTTTGTTAATTAGTTGTTTTTATGTTAGAATTTTTCTTTCTATCGTTATGAAAACAGCGCTTCACAGTGGTTAAGATTGTATTTTCCCCCTAGAAGGCCAGTACTTTCATTTATTTTAAATATATCTGTGAGCCCTATGGAATTCGTTTTTGTGTATTATGACAACATCAAAATTTGCGCTCTTTGTTCATCAAAAAAGACGGATTAATAGAAAGCTGAGCTCATATATTTTCTGTGTATTATATTTATCCGAATAGGAATTTGGTATGTCGAACATATCTTAATAATTACCGTTCTATTCAGGGAAAAATTTATTTATTTTTTCTAAAATTACCACACGACCGACAGCACCTAATGGCGTTTGATTTTTCTAGCCACTTAGTTATGATAGCACCAAGCTATTGTTTTATAAAATTAAGTCAAGCGTGTAGCCTCACTTAATATACTCTAGAACCCGGTTCGCCTAACCTGACTCACTGTTTGGAATGTGATTTTTTACTATTTTTAGGATATGTTCCTAATTGAGTATAGATGGGTTAGACCTTTGTTGTAAAACCTGAAATATTTCGTTGTTGTAAGACAATCTTTTCTGCTAAAGGCGATATATTTTGTAGTCGAATATATTTTTTTCTCTTACGAGAAGTTTGGCACAGTGCTTTTCGCAGTAAAGTGATAAAACGCACTGATCCGTCGAGATTTTTAAACAGCTCATGTGCTGACTCCTAAATATTGGACAAGACACCTAATTCACTATTTATTGATATGCCTCGAAAACGAACATCCTCTTTGGTTAGAGATTCTTGAGGCATAATAAGATAGTTTGGCGGTTACAATATATTTTAAGTTATTTGAGTGTGAATGTGCCTGTTTGATGCATCTAAACCTAATATTTATTATATACTATGTGGAAGGGCGTTCCAGAAGTGTTTGTTCCAATATGGAGGTAACTAATTTTGTTCGCCAACTTCACATCAAGTAGGGTAAACGGACTGAAACCTATGGGCAGCGGGTATAATTTTGTTCGCCCATTTTACTTCAAGTTGTGTAAATGGACTGAAACCTATGGACAGGGGGAATATTCACTTGGCTAACACAGACGGTCACCGAACTCGAACTAAAACAGGGGTTCCCAAACCGCGGCCCGCGGGCCAAATCCGGCCCGCGTAACGATTTAAAATGGCCCGCCGAGCTTACGTGAAATAGTGTTCAACAGATTTCATTTCTACCTTTTTGTGATCTAGATAGCGCTAATTTATGTCATTATCAGAGTTCAAGCACGTGTTTATCGTAACAATTCAATTATACCAGTATATCAATTATAGGTACCGGTGTTAGGATTACATAGGGCAGTAATTTAGTTATCAGTCATATAGAAAAGCTCAAAGATGTCAGAAATCAAACGAAAACTAGATTCAGAAAACTAACGTTTCTTGAATAAATGACAGTGTTCGTATTTCTCCATTGAAAAGTATCAAACTTTAAAGATTTGTCTTCTTTGCCAACGAACTATTCCAGTTCTGAAGGAATACAACACTAAGCGCCATTATGAGTCAAACTAACATGTTTCAAAAAAATGTCAAATGAAAGTGAATCCACTTTTGGGCGCTACATTCTTCCGGCCCGCGAACATCTCTCCGATTCTAATTTTGGCCCGCGGCCAATAAAGTTTGGGAACCCCTGAATTAAAATGAGGAAAATCGGAATAAAATTATTGTCTAACTCCAGCTGTGGAAGAATCACGCTTGGACCGAACGTCGTTTGTATAACCGTGGAAGATTCTAGATTCAGTTCCAAAAGCAGCTAAGTCAAAAGGAGTAGCATAAAGTAATGCACAATGGGCAAATTTTTTTTGGGTCTCAATTCACTTTCACATCTCTCAGGAGTATAAAATGCTATTTCGAACCGACGATCTAAAAGAAAACCCCTCATCAACGCATTTTCCTACCTGCTTTGAACTTTAGAAAGTCATTATTAATATATAAGTGTGAATATTTTGTTTCTATATTCGGCGCTCCCGAAGTATGTGCACCAAGGTGGCGCACAGCCTGAACCCCAACCTGGTATACATACTATGTTCAGGATCTGCACCAATACTTCTGGAGCTCCCTATATTCAAATTTAAATCAATGTTTTATATTTTCATTCCATTTTTTTTTTATCCTGCGTTATACTCCATTTAGGGTGTCGCTGCTGGATAACCAGTACTGCTTTTTTAACGTCTCCATCCACCCTGAAAATGCTATTCTTACTTTATTCTTCACGTATTTTCAGCATTGGTTGGAAAAATAAATCACTGAATATCCTGCAACTCGAAAGTGCCTGATGAAGGGCGTCTTACCATTGCAAATATTTTCTTTCCGAATTGCACATTCAGACACAAAAGATTACACGTATCGTTTAACTCGAAGTATACTACTACAGGAATCATGGCAGTAAATAAGAAAGAAATTAAAATAATTATAGTTATACTTAAATAACTACGTACAATGAAGCATATTTACAAATACATTTCAAACTCTTCCAATATGGAACGCAATTGTGTTGATAGCAGGCACAGATTTTATACAATTAGTGAATTCAATCTCGAGTAGAAATATCTCAATGTCGCATTTTTAATTAAAAAATTTAAAATCACCAAATTATATCGGTAAATTGTATATCCTAGATGAAAAAATGTAAAAAATGCTCTTTCACAAAAAAAAAAAAAAATAGGTCATTTGCAACTGCTCTAAGTGGATTCATTAGCTAGGCATCTTTGGTTCATATACCGATTGCATTGAAGGTGTCTGCGTTTATTACTCTGAAATTTACAAGCAAATGGATGCCATTTCAATTAGTTCCATGGTGTAGATCAGAGGTGTGCAATCTTCAATGCAGGTGTGCCAAAAACAAATAACTAAGTAAAACCGCAGACACAAAAAATTTTGGTTATTGATCTCATGACATGACGCGCTGTTCTCCTTGCACAAAATAGCTGTTAGGGCATTGTAACGTCATAGGTATCGCTAATAAATTGGACTGAGGTATTCGAAATTGAAACTTCTCCGCGGGCCGCAAAATTTTTCCTTGTGGATCGCATTTGGCCCGTGAGCCGCAGGTTGCACCCCCCTGGAGTAGATAACAGTATATTAATAGAATAAGAGGAAATTCGATAAGATGGGACAAATCGAATTGTGAATATTGTTGAATGGGTTTCTGCTTGTCTGGAGCTTTGTTATAATTCAAGAATTACAATTATTACTGATAGAAATAAAGGTTTCAGTCAGGTTGAGGATTGGGAACAAAATTTAAAAACGGGTTACAAAGAATAATAAAAATAGATAAATAGCAGCAACAACGAATGTGTTAGAATGTATTCACTAGTCAGGTTCATTAAAAATCATCTGAAAATGAATGTGAATGAACTAAATATAAAATCATTTTTTGCAATCATCAAATATTGATGCTCTGTTTGCCATAGCTCAAGTTTGAAACGGCGTATCACATAAAATTCATCATATTCTTTGTCAAAAACTTGTGGCACACTAGCGCCTCTAATGACCATTGCAAAATCATACTTCAAGTCTATGAAAAATGATAAATAAAGAAATAAGATATTACGATATCAGTTACTAAAAGTATTATTATTGCTCGATACCAAAAATGAAATGTGACATATTATATCAGGCCAATCATGAGGCACAGAAGGAAATGCTTGCTCGCATCTCTCACCAATTGTCCTTTATTATTCAGAATTATGTCTGTATCAAATATGGCCCAATCAATAATTACTGTTGCATGGCCAATTAATTGCCAATATCCAGTGGTATAATATATGTAATTCATCAGTAAAACAGTATTAATCATGTAAACACCAGAATTTTCAAGATCTTGATTAGCATAGAGCAGGGGTGCACAACACGAGGCACGAAAATTTTGCAAAGGTAAAGTATAGGAAGAATTTTACGAGGGTCAAAGGTCGGGAAAAGGTCCATACCAACGATTGTGTGTGGCACGCGACAAGAATATTTAGAAAAATTTGGCACGTGTCCTCATTTGAGTTGTGCACCCCTGGCATAGAGCACTGGTTCTCAATCAGTAGGCCATGGCCCACCTTTGGGCCGCAAACCTATTAAAAATTACCAATTGTCACCGGGTGGTAATTCTCATTTTAATTATTTAAAGTGTCCATCTTCGCAAAAAGAATTTCTTGTTTTTCTTATAGTTTTTCCCTACACGAGAAAGTTCATGAGCCATAGATTGTTTTGCGCAACAATGTGTTACATGAAAGAAAAAAGGTTTAGAACCGTTGTTATTTGGAGAAAAATATGAAATTGCTCTGCTCTCCCCTGAAGCATATATTATGTAAAAGAGTCATTAAGATATACAATGCCAATGTTTAAATATAGATAGACAAGTCAGTTCTTTATTTATCCATATAAAATAGGTCTATATATTCCATTTGAGAGGTAATTTTCGCTCTGCTTGTCAAATGTATTAGAATGCTGTGTATTCTGATATCTTTACACGGGATGTTTTTGAATATTCATACTTATACGTTGTGTAACAGTATGATAATTCCATCTTTGCTTTACGATCAAAACTGTCTTACATTCTTGTAGAAATAAATTCTTCACTTTGCCTCAATTTAACTTGGTGATGCTTTAGTGATGAATCTATCTTGATCATTCTTCTTAGATTGTCTGATTGCATCATCCTGCCCAACTAAATGTAAAATGAATTTTTTTTTCATGTGTTTTACATGCCTTCACTCAGAACAAGGCTTTGTGCAGGTTCATTCATGTATATTGCTTATGTGCACAAAGCTGCTATATGTGTGAGAACGTGTGGCAGCCGGAGGTTGAAATGTCAAAATAAAGCATTTTTTGTATCACACATAGGAATTTGTCGTAGCTTGGAAACACTTTATGAACCCTCAAAACTCTCGAGAACCCACATTTACCCACCGCCCACTGTTACTTGGCAACAAGAAATTTCAGAACTCCACACCACCTTTAAAACTTCCTGGTTACACCTCTAAAGTGGGGTATAGAGATTGTTGCTGTCAGTGCATTTCAAATTAGTGGTATTTAAAATTCAGTAATAGATTCAGGATATATTTACTGCAAACATCAGGGTTTTCACATTATTGGTGATATATTTGAGAGCATAATAAGGCATACAATACAAATTTTACATAACTTTGTTTATGAACTCATTGAAAATTACATTGAATTTTGATGTGTAATTTCAAATTGCAGTTTCGAATAAATATATTGATAATAATTCATTCATGCACTTATAAAGAGTATTAGATCACATATCAATTCCAAAGCCGTCCGATGAAAAACCTAGAAATCATTAATTTTGACAATAACCTTGATTTTGACCAAGCAGTTTTGGGTATAGTATGAGTACCAGGGCAAATACCATGATATATTTTATTTTATTTAAGACTTTTTTACGCCATGTCATGAGCGAGGTTTAGTCAATGAGTCATTAGTATTAGTAAGCTATTATTGCCCGTTTCTTAATTCCCCGTTCCTTAGTTTAGTAATTTTACCATTTGCCAGTATTGAACGGTTTTTTATATAATACAACACATTGGTACACACACTTCTGGAGCGCCCAATTTTGATTGGCTAAAAATATTTTTATCATGTAGCCTACATCACATGCTCAACTACATGAACTACCATTTTATTGAAGTTACCAAATCTCACCTCCGGATTTGAGATCGTTCATTTCTCCTCTTGCAAGATCAGAGAAGTCACTCATAACAGCAATAGGTGTGTCCCCTGTCGCTTGTGCAACTCGGTGTTCAACAAGATAGAACATGTATTCATCATACAGAAGTCGAATCAAATGGAAACTTCCAAAACTAGCTGCTGATCTCAATGTCAAATCACGTATCACCATTGAACTAAAAAGAATGGTGGCATTATTATGGAGCTATGCTCTGAATAGGTTCTCACAATCATCCAGATAAAATGAAAAGACAATGAGGTGATGTAATCACAAGGGAAACAATGGGCTTCAATCTGATTAGCAGTCCATGTCGAGTGGTTAATCAGTAATCAAAAATTAATTTTTCTACCATACTAAAGTACACTTTATGAACAAACAATACAGAAAAAAAAAAGGAAAATAGTACTTCAGGGTGAGGGGAGACGCGAGACACCATTACTGGTTTTCGAGCAGCGACACCTGTGATTTAAAAGTCTAACTGTAATAGATAAATCAAACAGTGATTATTAAAAGAATTTTACGTCAAAGTAGGTCGAGGCGATCTGGATACCCAGAAGAACCCCGACCCCCAAAAAAACGGACAAGGATCCGAGCACTGTTTTGTGCGTAACCATGGGAACGGCAGTGAAAGTCTGTACTTGCTGGTGGAGGAAACTATAACCAATAAACAGTTATTTACATGGGCCAACTAAACAGCAACAAAGTGCTTCTCAATCCTCTCACAGCAAGATTTAAAAATATTGGAAAAGCAGTTACGTTATTTCAGATAGAGTTAGTTATATCCCAGACTCCATGCCCAACTTGAGATTTGGACCAATTCCTCAATCTTCAAGCTCCAATTATTTTACAAATACAGATATTTTTAATCGTTGAAATAGCTACCTATAGAAACACCACTTGAGCAAAAACTGTCTTGCAGCCTTTGTAAATCTGGGAGATTCTTCATGAGGTCGTAGTACATCGTGAACAACTGATTCCAACCATTCAGCCCATTGTTCCAATGTCCTTTGCTCTGATAAAGCTGCTTTGAATTCTGTTTCAAGACGTTTTACGATTCCTGCATCACACTGACAAACCCACGATGCTTGTTCCTAAAAATATGATGAAGAGAGGTTTGACAAATTAAAGAGTTGACTGATGATATAAAACAGGGTTCACAAGTTGTGGGAGATTCCCATGTTTGCCTCAAAGATTTTTACAAATTATCAAAAAGGAAACTATGTTCAGGCTGAGTAAATATACCATTATTTATGAGAAGTTTAACTAATTATTTTCGGCACCCTCAAATTCAACTAATTCTGGATAAAATTAAGTTATTCAAGCAAAATTAAAACCTAAAGGACTTTTTGAAATTAACAACAAAATGTGAGTGTGCTTGGCAACGACAGAATTTCATTTCAATTTTATTTACTCTCAAAAACAGACACATCTATCGCATTAAATTTGCCAAATAAATAATTTAGTATAAGCTTGTTTAATAAGGGTCTGAGTCTGATCAACAGATAATGAATGTTCAAAATAACTTATAAAAGTATTATTCCTTCAAAATGCAAAATAAAAAAGTTCACTCTATTGAATATATTATATTCGAATATTCATTCCTGACATCCGTATCAATATCTTATCTGAATCTCCATAGGTACTCCCGAAGTATGTGAACCAAGATGACGGACACCGAAATGTAGTATGTGTACCAGGTTGGGCCCTAATTTCAAGTACAAATACTACGGGAGTCACTTGGCTAGTCCCCGAACTCATAATAGAACTAAAATAAGGAAAATTGGAATAAAATTATGGCCTAACCCTAACCTGGTACACATACTACGTTCCGGTGTCCGCCATCTTAGTTGACATACTTCAGGAGTACCCCTTCATATTTAACATTGAAATGGATAGTCATGTTTTCAATTCATACCACACATACAGCATTTAATGATTTAAGCATGAATCTTCCTACCTGTACATTTGTGAAATCTACTCTGTTGAGATCAGACAGCATTTGATTAATCTGAGTTCCGTTGTGAAGAACAGCACGAGCTGCTTGAGCAAGATGATTGAGTGAAGTATATCTCCTGAGTGTTTGAGAAAATGCAGAGACTGCTGTTGTCTGAAATAGGAAATATTGATGTCTCAATTTAGTTGGATTTGAATCTTTTCCCTATTATTCCAAGGTGGTGGTGGCTCATGGCCCCCTTTCCTGGGGCTTTCAGCACTCATGGTCCCACTGTTAATCATTTCAGTGGTATTCATCGTGTTATTTTGATTAGTAGATTCCAAATCCCATTATGTTCAAACAATTCATGCCAATAAAGTGGAAACACCCTGTGAAATAACCTTATCATGCAATGGAACTAGGAAGAACGGGGAGTTTCCTTGTCGAGGGGGAAATGTGAAATCAGTTTAGCGCCTAGCATTGTGGCCCCTTACAAACTGCTCTGACCCCCCCCCCCTTAGCGGCGCGCCTTGGCAGTTATTGTATTGGCGTGATGCATTTCCGTTCAAATGCACATTGGTAGTTTATTACAACTTTACTCTTGAGTGAATGGGTGATGACATAGATTAAAGTAAGTGCAATCGGATTTTAAGTGATAGAATGAAAATACCCATTGTGAATAACTTTTTGAAAATGTTTCAAAAATATACTAGTGAACGAACCTTAATTCTAACCATATTTTCTGGTATTGATCCACCAGTTAAGGCTGCACTGAGACTAGCTTCCAATCCTTTGGCAAAATTACGGATTGCTTGTGTGAGGGCACCTGCATGAAAGAAAAGGTTGTGAGTAATGTTGTACAATTTTTAATGATATGTTACTACAAGTAATAACCTAATTAAGCGAGATAAACATGAAATAATTCTTCGACTGCATATAGAGTTCAAATTTGCAAAGTTACTTTTGGTTAGAATGGATGGGATGGACAAAATATATCACTATTTCCTATTGGTTTATTTGGTTGTATTCTAAATTTACTTACATTTAACTGAGAACATGTATAAGTCAAGTCATTAATGTATAATGTTTAAAAATTGAATCAATGCCCTCATGGTACTGATTTGTAAATTCTATAGCACAAAATGATAATTTCTAAAATCCAACTTTTGTACAAATTAATTGAATATAATTAATTTCAAATAGATCTGAATATTTGATTTGTTTTGGATATGTAGGTTACCATATGGCTGAGTAAAAAGGGATATTACCAAACTAAATTTTGTGTTTTTTTTTTAAAGTAGGACAAGCACATTAATGACAATTGTACATGTTGGAATCAATCCAGACAGCACAGCATATTATAAAATTTAGCAGAGTATACAAAATAGTAGAACATGAAAATGCAAAGCAGAAATCTCGAATAATCATACTTGGAATTGGCCGAAGTACGTCAGGAATAAGAACATCGACCAAACTCTGGTACATCAGATGGTCACAATCTTTAACCCATTTCTGTACAGGTTTCCAGGAACAAAGTAGTAATAGTTTATTGTGGGATAATTTTGACTCCATCTCATCATTCCTGTGGAAGAGACATAATAACTTGGCATTATGGGTTAAAAAATGGGCTCAGAGGTTAAGGATTAGAGCTCAACTATGTTGGCAGGCAAGTAAAAAATCTTGGCTCAAAAGCTGATCACCATCTTGAATGATGTGTAAACATTTGGGACGCAATGCCAGCCATGTTTATACAAAGCCTTGTTTTGAGTGATTGGCTACACGCTGTATGTAAAAAATTGAATATTGCATTGAATATGTATAAAACCACCATAACAGATAGGAGTACAAGTAAAAAACGTTAGGTTACATTACAAATGTACTCAAAACTGTATTTATCTAACATTGGATGCTAAGGTGGGAGAAAGATGATATCATAGATAACCCAGACAGGAAAAGGTTGTGCGAAACAAGGCATCATAAGATGACCCTCCCAAATAAATATTGCCATTATATTTGTTTCGAAGGAATCATATGGTGAAAACACCGAACAGTGGCTACGTGAACCACCCTATGGCAGCAAGGAGTTCAGCAATCTTCTCGCTGAATACTAACTATTCTTGCGAGTCCAGCGATCTTGTCAGACCTAATCATCCCCTAAATGATTCAAACCTGCAAATCCACGCAGTGTAATCGATGTAACCCTAACTCTAAGTCTTAGCACGATGTGCCAAACTACTACCCAGATTGAATAATACTCTTCCAGATCCGTAACAACTTACATTAGCTGTGCGGCATCCATGGGTTTGTTGCTTCTCCAGAAAGTATGCCATAGTTCATCTACCATTGGGAATTGTAATGTGACGATGATATCAAGTATACCAGAGCAATGATCTCTGTATAAATCTTCTAGTGCTGATAAATCATCCTGTATGGAGAATTGAAAAAAAAGAGAAGCTTGTTCAAATTTGTTCAAATAATGTCACTTGAGTAGTATAATATGAATTTTGACTAAAGATTACAATTATTTACTTTTGAGAGATTTATTGGCGCTCCAGAAGTGTGTGTACCAATATGGAGGTATCGTAACTAATTTTGTTCGCCTACTTCACATTAAGTTGTGTAAAGGGACTGAAACCTATGGGCAGGGGGTATATTTACTTTGCTAACACAGACAGTCCCCAAACTCGTAATAGAAATAAAATAAGGAAAATCGGAATAAAATTATGACCTAACCTTAACCTGGTACACACACTACGGGAGTACCGATTTGTCTATTAATAGCTAATTTTATTATGCAAAATGTTTCATTGAGAAAATGGTAGTAGGCTACCACATACAAACAGTTCAGATTATTGAAAAAAAATGATAGCTTCTTACATTTCGTCAGTGGTACAGAGTAATAAATGAACTTTATAATTTTAACACCACATAAGATTTCTGAATTTTCATTGAAATTTCCAAATTATCTGAATCTTGTGACCATTTCTAGTTTGTTAAACAATTACAAAATGTTGTTAAAATCTCTGTACCTGAGTCACTCCGTCAGGAAATGGATCTGTCTGACGATCAAACTGTATTGGATCAAGATCTGGAATAGCTTGCGACACATCGCCTAAAAATTTTTGATGATGTTGCACTTGTTCTGCTGCATTTGTTCCGGGTGAATTGCTTCCCGATTCCGTAGTTTCCATCTTTTCGTTAGAATGTGTGACTTTAGCTCTGTGAAGAGAAAAAACTGAGAAATTAGAATATGATTTCGATACCTATCTCATGGTAGGGAATAAATGATTTTATGATATGGCGAACCAAAGGATCCTTATGCCCAACAACACTATCCAAATTATTTGATCACTGTTTTTGACAATAGGAACCTTCTAACCAAGATGTGAATGTAATTATATCTGAACATAGAGAAAGTAAAATAAACGAATTCAAAATAAATTTTAGAGAATTTCCAACTTTGTACCAAAAATTTGTTCACATAGATAAAGGTTCATGATTTCATCACAAATTAGTAAAAAGATAGAAAAAGAGAAAAAATTCACCTTTTCGCGTGATTCCCGGGATGTCTCATGGCAGCATAAGCCACTTCTTCTTGTAATCTGTTCAGCGGTGAAGATGCCTTTATTCTTATACCATAATAATGATATTTTGAGTTTCCTCTGAGAATAAAAACAGAATATTTCAGCATAATAATGACATAAAAACAGGGCAGTACGTGAAAAAATTTCCAGAATGTCCAAATTTTTTCTCAAAAATCAAACTCAATATCAATAATCTAAATCAGTGGTCATTTGGATCTAAATCATTTGGATCAAATTAACATCAGTCAAATATATGGCATAGAAACAAAGAATAAAACTAAATCTCTTGATTTGATTTAAATGTACAAATAATAGCAATACCTGGTACCAAGTCTTCTGGTTCTCAGTCCCATGAAGACAGATCTCACAAGTTTGCCAAATGAAGCAGCATTGACAGGATCAAGAGTTTGTTCTCTACAATGAAGTAAATAATGATGATACATGAGTGCACGTGGAAGTGACACTCCTTCCGAATTCTCAAAATGTTCCATCAACCATTGTACCTAAAGTAAAAAATATGCAAAATGAAGTTTTTGCGGAGTAAAATGGAAAAAATACTGACACATGCGCGAATACCAATATTCTGGGTATATTTATTAACACTGTACCCTTGGTCTCCCCGCGCAGTAAACAGTATTTTTGATGAGAATTAACACAAATAAACAACTAACTTGAACGTGAAATGAAAATATTCATACATTAAAATAAAAAAAAATAATACAGCTTTTTCTAACTAGCCAACTATGATGACGAAGTAATCCAATCATCATTTTCTAATTCAAAACAACAGTCCTTTTCTACATTTCAGAAAGATTGGAAATATATTATCAGTATTATTAATTAATATGCTGTTAATTTCAATTTCACCCTCAATATGATTATTACCTTTTTATAAAAGTTTTAAAAAAAGAAGAAACTGTTTATTTTGCAGAGTGCACTTGAGGATTGAAGTACCCAGAGGGTCAATCAGATCATATTATGATTTTTTCAAGCATGAACAAAGATAAATTACACATAAATTTTGTCCTCATTTAGCCAAGGATAACTACCGTATATACTAAACCAGGGGTGTGCAACCTTTATTACAGGAGGGCCAGATAGAACTAACTGGGTGAAATCGCGGGCTGCACCTTCATTTAACATATGCTATCCAGTAGTTGCAAGCACAAAAGTTTATTAATCTTGTGACATGCGTTTTTTGCACAAGGTAGCTTGTTAAGGCATTGTAAAGTCATAGATAATAAATTGGACTCAGGTATAGGCTTTGCAACGCAAAGGAAATAGGATTACTCGCACGTGCCAAATTAAATTCGTTTTGCAGTTCGCATATCATATAAAATTGGCATTTCTTTGCGAGCTGCACAATTTTTCCTTGAAGGTCGCATTTGGCCCGCGAATCACCGGTTGCACACCCCTGTACTAAATAAAACTAGTTTGCTAAAGCAAATCTCTTATTTGGGGAGTAAACAAGTACTTCTTACTGTTTTTGGCTCCCGCCTGAAGTGACTTACAGTTGCGGGAGAAGCACGTGTGTTGTGATTGATCGGCATTGCAAGGATTCCTTCTCCTCCCGCTGCCCCACCTGGGGTTCTGATGATATAAGTACCCCCCGTGGGAGTTGCTACTATCTGGCCCATGTTGTGGTGAGATGCAGCACCTGCTTGTAATTGAGCATGATGGGCTTGTAATGAGCTGACCATGGTAGGCTAAAAAATAAGATACATGTCAATAGAGAAATTTTGGGGCTCCCGAAGTATGCGAACCAAGATGGCGGACATCGGAATGTAATATGTGTACTAGGTTAGGGTTAGGCCGTAATTTTAGGTATAAATACTACGGGAGGCTCTTGGCTAGTCTTCGAACTGATAATAGGACTAAAATAAGGAAAATTGGAAAAAACTTATCGCCTAACCCTAACCTGTTACCCATGTTACGTTCCGATGTCCGCCATCTTGGTTCGCATACTTTGGGAGCACCGAAATTATTTTAACGATTTCAAAATTAATCAATCTAGAAACGAGAGTCAATTGCATGTTTTCCCCGACTAATAATAATAATAACATAATCGCATAGCGTTCTTTGATTTATCACTTTTCAGTCTAATATGGACCCTTCACCATTTTTTTGTTAAAAAGAAAACACAATTTTAACAATCCATGCAGTAAATCCAGCAACAAGAAAATTTATAATTAATAAAATTAATTAAGTGAATATTGACTATCGGCAAATAATATGAAGCACATATTATTAAACAATTCATTGAAAACCTTTTTAAAAGATTTGCGGTATTAGTGGATTATTTACCAAATCAAAATTAGTGAGAGACATTGGCGTAAATACCTGATGGCCGGTTACTGATGTATCAAAGAACAAAGCATTAGTTGTGCTGTTGGTATTCTGACTGTGACTGTTTGTATAGAGCTGTGTTCCGTCTGTGTATTGGTAAGAAGTAGCGCTAGAAATACAATGGCATTGTGCAAATATTAACGAATGAAGTATGAATCAGCATGTTTGAACATACATTTTCAGATCCCACAAAAAGTACGATAATAGAAAAAATGATTACTGGTATCAAGTAAGCTAGTCATCAAAGTAATCAAGCAAGACATTACAATCCTTGTCAATAAATTAAACAATGAGATATTTTCTACACTGTCAGTGCACCATAGACAGCAGTAACATCAACAAAACACAATATTTCATCTCCATTATCTATACCCCACATAAAAAAAATATTTTGGTTAATGAAAAAAATATGAGTTTACTGTTATATGAGTTTACTGTTTACTGTTTCTGTTATATTCTGTAATCAATTTATATACTTATTATAGATAATCGTACCCTGATCCATTGGCATAAATATGATCTCCTGGAGATTCAACGTATTGTATCTGTCCTCCTTGATAAACTTGCTGAAGCTAAAAAAATTTGATGATATTGTTTATTAACAATACAAAAAAAATTTAAAATTATACGAAAAAAGTCAATGAATTGACTGGTGAATACAATTCAATGACAAATGATCAACGGTGTCAGTTTGGATTGAATACAAAATATATTCCATAATATTAGTGATTTCCTTTCATTTGTTTTGGCTGACTTTTGTTTAGTTTGGCTCAACAGTTGGGGCGTTGAAATAAGTGTTAGCAATGTGTTGCCTTTTCATTGCTTCATACGAGCTTCGAGAGGAATAATTATGTGCAATAGATTACTGATCTCTATGCTGGTTGTTGCGGCTTTTACCATCATCGAGACCATGCATTTGAAATAAAGTTTCGAAACATGAATTGGCAACTAGACAAGTGGCCATGGTTCGCCAATTGTTTGAATCGTTTTATCGACTTTTCTCTACAAAGGATAAACACAAAATATCCTCTCCTGGTTGCTACAAATGATACAATGTGTTAATCATATTCAATGGATTTCACAGCTTTTTTGAAAAATCTATGAATCTTCAAATGTTGTATAATTGAGTTAAGAAAAATTCAAACTGTCAAATCATAAAGCTGATCAAAACATGTTAGTACAGTAATTTGCAACTTCAGGTCTATTGAAAATACTACAAAAATCCTAAAAACAAAACTAAGTAGATTATCACTATTATTTACTGTAAAGATGGACACTTAAATCTGACAATACATATGTGTTATGATTATACAAGGTCAAATAGAGAAGGAATTAGACGAATTAGGAAGTTACATAATTTTTGGTCATTGATCCTGGTACCTTTCTATGAATGACAATTGGTAATTCGCTTGAATTATGGAAGATAATAATGAAATTTCAGTAAGAATTAATAGGAGAAATAGAGGACCTTGGTAAAACTTCTCTTTAAATACTCGAACACTTTTTATATTAAATAATATATAGGAAAATAATGAAATTTCAGTAATAATTAATAGGAGAAATAAGAGGCTCTGCCTCTGACCAAATTTCCCTTTAAACTAGCATACTTCCCATTTTATATACTCAATGCTTTTTATTTAGCAGCCAGGAAAACAAGAAACACCCGGACCAACTATGGAAAATGCCTACAAATCAAATATCAAAATCACTCATCTCTGTATATAAATCATTAAAAACAACAATTTGCAAAAAACTAACGATTAAATTCCAACATTTCTATATTATGATTAAAGCTACTCCAACAATTTTGAAGCAGATTATTAAATTTCATATCACGCTACTTTCAATCCAACTAATTAACCTGAGAAGTTTCAACATCATCAGTATGAGTGAGGTCTAAGTCAGCCAATGTAAACACATTTCTGTCCCCTATCTGTACTCGGGCTGTATTCAGGGCTCGTGTCAACTAAAGAATAATTTAAATTTGTATTGTTTGTTAATATGTTACCACAAATTATAGAAGTACATTAGGTTTTTCAGAATCAGGTCAGAACAAGGCCAAGTATAAGCAATACTGAGGTGTACTGTAGACCGGGGCTACTCAACTGGCGAACCGCGATCCGAATGCGAGCTTTTGGGGTATTCGATTCGGACCACGCATAATTCTTTATTTTTGATCATTAGCCCCACTTTTGAAGTTTCCTTTTATAAAATCACTTTTATAGATTTAAAAATATATATGAAAAGAACTATAATGCCATAACAAACAATCTTGTGGCTAGCTAATAATAATCATTAGTCGCCCGAGGAATTGCGTGTTCAAGGATGCCGAAATGTAATTTCTGGAAAGTCCAGACCCAAATATTTTTGAAGTTTTATATGTGGACATTCGGTAAAAATAGTTGAGTCCTGCTGTAGACAATAAAAGTGAGTAGTGACAAAGACTCAGATACAAAGAATCGTTTCGAATATATTTCATATTATTAATAATTAATATTCAAAAACTGTTTGAACATCATTTTGAGCAATTGAACACTAGCAGAAAGATCAGTATTCTATATAATTTCTGAAAACTGCAGAAACTAGAGATTGGAACATACCATTCCTTACCTAAACTTGGCTATATCTTTTAAATGAATTTGAATGTTCGAGCCCTATCTATTGAAATAGAGGTATTCGAAGAACTAATATTTGAAAAGATTATTTTGATATCCCTTTTGCCTAGTTTATATAATGTTTTACTAAAGATATTTCCGGAAAACCACAGCTGTATAACAAATCAAATTTTTAGACTGTTTTAAGTCACCACATTCATTTGTATAAACAGGATGTGAGACACTATTGAACAACAATTCAATACTTTAATTAACCAAAAAATGAAGAAAAAAAAAACGTTTTGAAGGTTATTCAATCTTCACAATAAAATGTCACATTATACAATAAATTAAACTTTTGGGCAAAAGTCCAAATAAATATCCATTTTGGTGAATATTTAAAAAGGCACCCGGCAACAAGAAAATCTATAATTAATAGGATTAATAAAGTGTATATTGACTATTTACAAATAACATAAACTCATAAAGTCCATATTCAACAATTTATTCAAAACCTTTTTTTGAGATTTGCACTATTAGTGGATCAATTACCAGATTAGATGAGTGAACTTAATATTATTATTAGTACTTTCTGCATAGCTGGCTCATTACAGCTATTGAAAAAGTGATCCCTGAATGTTTTCGCTCCCAAGTTATCTCTAAATGTCTAAATCTCATCCACACTGCTCATGGGATTCCACTTCTATCCTGATAAAGAAAAAGCTTATCTGATGATTAAACCTTTGAATAAACATTTCTTATCTCCGTTCTAATGTCCTGAAACTCATACAGATTTCTTACCAGTCTAGGATCTGCGTTCTCTTTCTCCTGTTTTATCTGTAAAATCTGGCAAGCTATATCTGCCTCCTTTTTTAAATCCAAAACTCTTAATTTAACTGGCGGTGACTGACAATCTACTCTTCTTATTGTAACTGTCTTCAAAATATTACTCTCCTGTAAATATGATGAAAATTTTTATAATCTGCTAAATAGAAATAATCTGTTTTCTATTTACCAGGTGCAGATTGATAGACATATTGCATGACTAACTTTTTTTTGACAAAACTTGATTGGCTAAATTTATAATTTACCAATATTTAACAAAAATTTACTTCTATTTAAATACCGGTACTTTAACTCGGTTATCTCATCTAAATAATGGAATATTATTGAGATATTACGTAGGTTATTCCTGAAAACTTTCTTTTCTGCATTTGTGATAGAAAATTGAAACATCGGAAATCATGAGAAGATAAAAAAAATCATCAAAAAAAAATTAGAATGAATTCTGAATTTTTAACTTCGATAGGGATATAGAAAATTGGTTGAAGCTAAAAAATTTGGTGCTCCTTAAGTATGTGCACCAAGATGTCGCATAACCTGAACCCTAACCTGGTGCACACACTATGTTCAGGTTGTGTGCCATCTTGGTTGTGTGCTATCTTGGTGCACATACTTCAGGAGGTCCAAAAATTTTATATCCCCCCCCAAATAATGCATAAATAGATTAACTTATTAAGTAAATGCTTATTTTTAAACATAATCAAGAAAGGTTAATTAATATGAAACATACCTATAACTGTATATTTAAAAAGTGGAACCTGATATACCCAAATTGTAAAAGATAAAAATGTTATGAAAATGCTCACAGCAACAAATTCCATTGTTTTAGAATCCATGGATCCATGTCGTTCTGTTTTAACTTTGCTGTTTATTGTTAAATCCATGGCCTGCTGCAGTACAGCTGTATGGGCAGGCCTAGGTTCTTCCTCTGTTTTACAAGGCATCTACTTGGTAATTGGTTTATTATTATTATTCAGATTATTACTAAATTGAAACTATCTGAGCACAGGTGAAAATATCATTCTTTAAAAATTTTTCTTAGGAACTAAATATCCAGTGCCGACATAGGAATGTAATTCAATTAATCTGAAGACAAAAAAAAGAACTTTCACAAAATGACTGTACTCAAATCCTCAACGCATCTCATTTTGAGAGTGTTTTTGCCTTTCAATACTACTTTTACATCCCCAAAACGAATAAACAATACGGACCTAGAAATTTATAATTAACTACAATTGACAATATCTAGTCTTTATTAAACATCCATAACATATACGTGTAAGACAACGTGGCAGAGTCGTTCTGATATGGAAAGAAGACCACGGCGAGTACGAAGAAACTTTAAAAAGAATGTATTGTGACGTCATATAACGCAGAAACTGAAAAAGTTGTTAATTTACTCAGGCCCGATAAAGAATCGCGTTGCAAAGCGTATTCCATCCATGAGCCACAGTTGGTCTATCGTCACTAAATCTCCTGTGTTCTAAGAACAAAGGGAATATGCGGGTCACTACTTGTCGTCGAACGTTTATTTCGTAGAGTTTGAACGACCAAAAGCAAACAAAAGACGGCGGTGACGGCCTTTGTACGCGATAAAATCAGGAATTTTAAAGGTTAAATGGTCTCTGGTACGGTTATCAACCAAATCTAGACGACTGCATTTGACAGTACTACATTGCCTAGTTTTATGAGGCATTATCTATTTCTCTAATAATGCAATGGGTATTGAATGACAAACGGGAGAATAAACAACCTACTATAAAAAAATAGGGAGTTACCGGATGTAATAACAAAAGAATTTGATAAAATCTTCCCCCCGCTACCTGAAAGGTTAAACAGATGCTTGTCCAGCATGTCGAATCAAGGACACGGCGTTTGCAGATTACGGCTCGTATTATACCAAAACCACTTTAAAGTTTAACAATTTGACACGTTTCCGTCTCCTAATGTGGATATAGCAATCGTGATAGTCGCCGAGAATATACGCGTAGAATGTGTAATGTAGACAAAATTTTGTTCAGGGTTTAATAGAAGTGGCACTCGATGCTCCAATGTGGAAATTCGGTCAGGACAAAAAGAAACACTCGCGGGGCGTTGCCAGGCAACGCATTATCAGTTGACATGGCATTTATGGCGTTTCTTAGCAACCGGCTCGTAGCCGGAATGGTTTCTATTGACTCAATAAAGTAATAGGGAAGACTTCTTCCCCGCGGTCCTTTATGTAATAAAAATGTGAATAAAAGCCAACGGGCGGTTTGAAAATGTTATCCGGTTGCCCTGGAAACACAATGACTATTCTTCAATCAACTTTCGTTATACAAGGCACATGTCAATTTATACGGAGCAAAAAATCTGATGATATTAAAAAAATTACCAATACTTTCTCTCATTGAATGCATACATAATATAAATAAAGTCCATGAAGTCTTGATTTTTTTTTTAAAACTGCAAACGGAATTTATCGATACCATCATACCATATATTGTTTTGGCCCTCACAGATGTATTAAATGAAGTAAAACTACTTGAACAACTGCTGATTAAAAAACAGCAAACCTGGTTAAGATATATTGAGAACTGTCTTCATAACAAATTTGAAATTGTAACGATACTTTATGGACATCCTGTATATCTACATTTTAAATAGATTCTCGTATGTAAAATGCTTCGTATATCTATGAACATTCTCCGAACCGTAACTATTCTATTCAATGACAAAAGGTAAATCGTTGCATTGATACCAAGCCATATTTACAAATTTATTGGATTCAGTGACAAGAAATCCGGTTGTACTTCAAACACCACTTCTCTACTAATTCTGTTCATCCATCTATTCTATAACATTTGTTTGGGATTCATAGCACCCATCTACGACGACCGCTGATTTCAATCCAACACGTAACAGCGCAGTTCTATCAGTAGTCTAACGCTCGAGTCTATTTGCAATGATTCCCAGTTTCTGTGAATGGTTCATTTTGTCCTATCTTTTCTTGTATACCGCTAAAAACTCAATTACGCTATGCTGCCAAATCCAATAAACTTGATATTAGCAGTAATCACTACAAAATAATAATAATCATCATCACAATCCCGTATACCAAATCCTGATAAAATTGTAAAAAAATAAAACAACAGAGCCCAGTAACCGTAGTTACAAGACCGTATCACTGACAAGGGTAACATGGGAATTCCGCCATATTGACGTTGTCATGGAATACCGTCTTGGTGACCCAAGTGAATTATCATCATTTAACGTTTATCAAGAATGAAAACGAAAAGACTTGAACATCTACACTCTACTACTACCAGAATAAATTAGCGCGCGATTATCCGACTTGGCGTCTAATTTCATTGGCCATTTTCAAAGAAAAACTATAAAGATGCTGTAGGCTTGAATATTAAAGATTCTCAACTTTAGCCAATAAAAGCCCTTGTGTTCGAGAAAAATTCCATTGGCGAAAAGATTCGTCAGCGTAAAAGTTCGGATAAAACTGAAGTCGCGTATATAAAGGATTCGCAAGGTTGTTGTTTTCTATCATGAGGCTACGTTTTTCAATGGGGGCGATTTTGGTGTAAAAATGACACGTAGATGTCAAAGCTAAAAAAAATTGTTCCCCTTCTGAAGTTATAACCAATCCAGAAGTATATAACGCTTTTAAATTTAAACAAACATTTTCATTTCATCTACACAATATCCGAAACACTTTGGAGCATTATAACAAACTAACGTACAAATTGGAAAAAGCCCAATATTTGGCTATAAGCCTCAAGTAATCACAATAGGATCAGAATTTACAGCACATTACGCGCATTTCATATATTCATAGGCAAAGCAGAATCATAAAAATAAGCATGGCGGAATAAACGGAAATGTATGGTAGAATGAATTTCAACTAAATTAATACGTGGTAGAGAAACGAGCGTAATTTTAGGAGTGGTGTTAGAGGGCGCAACCGCGCAACTACGTTCAGACTATATGGAACATAGGGCTGAATTTATATCCCTGAAATTTTCACTAAAACGTATCTTCATGAACGGAACGAGCTTGGTGTCTGGTGCGAAGTTTAAATATGCTTTTCAAGCACGTGTTATTCAAGACTCGCAGATTTTAATGAAGATCCGAAGATGACTTAATAATATTATATCACTTTTAACGGAGGAACTATGTTGAGAAATTATTTTTTTACGTTTGATTAGCGGAAAATAATGAATGTTTGTACCAGAAGACGGGACTAAAATCAGTAGAATGTAATCACATCGCTTAACACATGTCGACTCTGGATGAGTTTAACGTAGGGAGAAGCAAAACGATAAAACCGTGATGAAATCTATTCATATTTAATTAAATCACTCATAACGAGAAATCAGTCACTGAGTTTTTTATTTTATTTTCCTGGCAGGGCAGTAGGAGAGAAAACAACGGGTCGTAGGATTCATACAAATTTATCCCAATTACGACGTTAGCAAGGATGATCCGATTTAATGGCCCGGTAATTTGAATGCACAATGTATGGGTACAAGACAATACATGCCTAACGATCGAAGTGACTAGTTTCAATACAAACTAACAGAGCTGAGCGAAATTGATATACAATTGTAAACTGGTACGTAAAGTAAAAAAGAAATTACTGATTAGTATAAAGAACAAAGAGTATCACTACGAAGCTAAATGTCTCACCTGTCCTTGCCCGCCTCCCATTTGCTTCCCAGCATCTGATGTATTCAGATCTGAAAAAACAACAAAGTATAAAATAAGTTGAATGGGTCGTAAATGAATAATCAGTCAATGAAAAGGTTTGGATTTGTGGCTTAAGATCAGCGTCAGAAACTTTGAAATTAAACATAGCAAGAAATCAGAAAAACATCCTATATAAAACGGATTCGTATCTGCGCTTTGTCAACAGCGAAAATACCTATAATCTCAGCAGGACAAAGCTCCAGAGCAGTGTTACATAAATTTCATTTGCTTGAAGCACGAAATGACTGAAACCTTTGCATCAGTGATTTTATTGTAAGGAATTAGTAAAGCATTATGAATAATATCTAATAACACCAGTTTCTATACATATGGTACATATAAATAAACAGTGTCAGGTTAGGATTGCATTTGACCTATACAGCAGAATAAAAAAAATGCAATTCAGCATTCGTTTAATGGTGATGGTGATTAGTTGACAGTAACATGAAGCATCCTAGCTCACAGGAGTACGTCTTTAATCAAGACTATACTAACATGGTTCCAAAAAATGGGGAACCTAAAACGCGCCATATTAGTAAATGCGTAAGGGTAAGCAATATACCAGACTGGAAAGAAGAACGCTTAAGTCATGAAACGAGCACATGAAAAACATCTCGATCTGTTAACAAAGCAACGAATGTGCGATACAAAACTTCCGGAAATTAAGGAGCTGATGTGTATTGTATTACACACAACAGGTGCGCCCTAAAATATCGAAAATAATAGCCATTTTTAATGTACTAAAATTAATCACCAATTTCAGCCCTCACGCGCCATCTCGAGTATCGATAAAAGTGCAAATAAGTCTACTCTTGTACGTCATCTACCGGTTCAAAAACGGCTCCTTGCGTAGAGAATAGATAAGACGCAACTAGATATGCGTTACCAAATACCAGTTTGAATTCGGACGTTTCATCAATTAAACGTGTGATTGTGTAACAAATATATCCCTGTATCATTTTTTCATACGTCTTTTTAGTTACTATAATTAATTATCTCCCAAGTCTATTCGTAAAGAAATGCAGAATATCACACGAATACAATATGCAAGCTGACGTTATTCGATCATTAGCACCGGGTTATTCAGTTGAACGATTAAATTATATTCCATGTTTAGAATACAATAAATTTTGACAGTAAATGTCATCCCAGATTACGTGATATACATTCACTTGAAAATTTGATTTGCCACAAATCGATAAACTTAAATTCAAATGTATACGATTAACTAATTAACGTCTAATGGCAACACCCATAAATTGAGTGTTTTGTGAAGCAATGTTTTATATATGACATTTCAAACCTGCGGTAGTTAACGGTCAAAACATCTCGTTATTAAATTATAGGCTGTCATCGTAACATATTGGCAAAAATTTGAAAGCCGAAACTGGATGGTAACCGAACTAACTTTGCGGCGCGTATTTGAAAAGTCGTTTGGTGATGTCATTTCGGAAGTTTTTATTGAAAGAACTTTTTTACCAATACTATTATGTAGATGCCATGACAAATCCATACGGCCAATATCGCTGGAAACAGATGAGCTAGGATGAAACGTTGACAATGATTTATAGTAGCTTTGTGTCGAAAAAGCAGGTTTGATTCTAGTTTTTTTTTTAAAACTAATATTAGATTCACATAATCTTCTGTGATTCGGTGTTTTCTTTCGATCTAGCAAAAAGAAAACACACCTGCGTATCGGCAACCGCTCCAAGACCAATCGTAACTATTAGAGTCCTCGTGTGAATCGCCAACATACATAGCATTTACAGAACTTTGAGAGGCTTCTGAAGAAGCAATGGAAGAGCAAGATTGATGAAAATTATCGTCGTATCCACGATATCCTGAATTGCCATGGTCACTGTACGAAGTATCATGGTAACGAGTTGCTGTTGGAAAGGGCTGGTTGTCACACTCAGAAGAATACCCTGCCTTGGATCCATGGTAATGTCCGTCACTACCAGCATAACTACTAATACAATCTGCGCGGAATTGGATATTTTCGCTAATCGAAGACGGCTGAGATGAATAAGAATACGGCGCTGGATATTCAAAGGACTGAGTCGCCCACCATTCTGTTTTTATCGGCATATTTTCTCAGCTTCTATAGTCTTTCCCTACCCGACATGAAGATTCACGAAATAGAAAATATATGCTGCTTCAATATATATAGGTAAACGTTTTACGGAATTCTGCATATTTTAAATAGAGCGCTGGCGAGGAATATGACTTACAAAAGAAATGGCACGTGCAGATAGGTGCATACAAATTAAGATAATTTGTAATATATACGGAAAACAAACTATTACAGATTAATTTCACAGGCCGTAGTGGTTAATTCGTCGACAGTAGTGGAACATGTATGCGATTGGACATGGGAAGCGAGCGTGAAGAATTAAAAAATTCATTTTAAAATAAAACGTTTCAATTTTAATGGAGCGTATAAGGCAATAATGGTATGTATCATTGCTACACCTAAACGGAATTCGGTCTATCCAATAAATATTTCCGTTCATTTCTACAAATTGTACGCCGTTATAAATTAGAATAATCGGCGCTCCAGAAGTATGTGTACCAATATAGAGGTAACTAATTTGTTTCGCTACTTTACATCAATTTGTGTAAAGGGACTGAAACATATAGGCAGGTGTATTCATTTGGCTAACACAGACAGTCCCCGAACCAAAATAAGGAAAATCAGAATAAAATGATGGCCTACGCTCTAATCTGGTACAAATATTACGCGAATACTCTCTGTTCAAGATTACTGACAAAATTATGGAACTATTATTTTTCCGTACGAATGAAAAAGAATTTTTCCGGTAAAAAATTATATAGCCTACGTGAGAAAATTACTTTTCGATTTATTTTTCATTTCCAATGTTGATTATTATAACGATCAAATTATAAAACAATTGAAACATGTTATAAACAATTCATTCCAATACCAGAAACGCGATTGCGTTAAATTCGAAATGAACTAGCTAAAAAATATAAATTCTCTAGAACCCAGCGGCTCCGCGAGCTATTCAAATAGCAAATACAGCAAATACCGCACATCCGAGCCATTAAAAAAAGTAATTTCAATTTACTCGGAACATTTATCGGTAAGTAACAAAGTGCTATTTTGTTTTTAGTTATATAAATTTATTGAAGGGCTACGCAAATATTAGTCAACTTATCAGGGGCTCCATAACACCAAACGTTTGAGAACCCTTCTCTTGTGTATCGGCGGACGATTACGCCACTGACCATTTCAATCCTGAAATTCAATTTTAAGCTTCATTCATAATAGCATACATTTTATATGCTGAGAATGATCTCCGCGTTGCGTGCTGTTACAAACGTTGCTTTACTATTACTTTACAATCTTGAAGAGTTTTGAATTGAGAAAAGCATCACAAAGTCAGGCTACCAAAAATCTATTAGAAACTTTCAATATTTTGATAAATATCACAAACAGGTGGAAATAATGTTTAAGCCTAATTGACACGTGTAGTAATAAAGATAATTGCAAACAAAAATAAACATTTGCAGCCATCAAAGTCGAAAAGTTCTTTATTATGATATCATGATTGCTATTAAATTAAAAACGACTATCCACCCTAACCCTTAGTATTAATTAGCGCACGATTTTACCATTTTCGAATAGATAATTAAATTGAAATTTCGTTGAATAGTGATAATTTATCAGGTACGAGGGTGGGGTTAGCAAAACGATAACGCTTAATTGGTTTGATCACACTCTGTGGCAAAAGGAGTGTCTGTTTCGGGCGAGTGTATTGACAATTGAGAGTTCATTCTGCGCGACCAGGAAAGCACGTGTTAAAAATATATATTCCAAACCCAGTGTGGTAGGAAAGCATCGCGATCAAACAAACTATCGCTGTACAAACGGCGTTCGATCAAAAATATTTTTAAGATAATTTTCGACGCTCTCTGGAAATTACTATGATTTCATTGTGGTGCAATCCACCTGGCATATCTTCGTGAAATAACTTTTTCTCATTAGCGAAGAATTCGCGAATCATTTTTTATTAATTTGAAATGTAAATCAATGAAGTGGAGTGCATTGTGTGATTGTTACGTAGTGAATAAATACACTGTCAGACAAAGCAAAAATAATACAAGACCCGGCGTTTTAACCATAGTTGAAAAAACGTCTCCTCAGGCTCAGGTAGAAAACGAAAAATTTGAACATGACGAAAACAAACGGTATATCAATAAGATAAACAATTAAACTCCAATTCACTGCTCAATTCTGAGAATCCAGGAGGTTGAGAATTTCCATTCTTAGTTTATATCAACCTGACCATGGGTGATGAGAAACACCTGAGATATGGCGGTCTTTGCATACAACCTAGGTCCGCTTGGAGCAAAAACAAGATGACGTGTTGTTCCAATCCATTTTCAATTAGTAGTTACTAGTATATTTATATAATATATATATTTTTGATAATTCTAGCAGTCTCTTACCTTGTTTTCCTGCCGTGACACTGACATATTGTGCCACAGGTATTTGGTTGTGTGGCACGGTGACCACTGATGCCTGCTGACTCGAAGCGACTTGAACGCTTGCCGCCTGCTGCATGATGCACCTGACAAAATAAAAATAAACCTGAATACAAAAGTAGTCAAGTAGAAGCAAATATTGTATGAGCCAAGAGCTACCGTATTTTCAGTGAAATCGGTTTATATTTGGTGTGATTTTTTGTAAGAATGTGGCGGATTTCCGGTGAGTATGCGTTTCATATATGTCATGTCCCCAATGTAGGAGGTAGATAGCAAATGGCAGGACGCTCATATTTGCTGGACATAAAAAAAGCCACCGTGTTTTGACGTTTTTCCGTTAAACATCATATGGCACGACGAGGATACAAATAGATTTATTGAAATAATACGATATTTTAATAGTATAGTTGTAGTTAAATATGAAAATCTTTCAAAACATATTTGGACACTACAATCTACACAAGTGTTAAAATTATGGGTTAAAAATATTTTACGACTCACGTTATGGGAGAATGATTTCCTACATTTAAATTTATTAATTAACCAATTAGTCCATCGGATTAATACTGCCAGTGCACGCTTCTATTCACTTCAGGTGTCAGCAACCGTAAAATGTCTCTAAAAGATTGGGCCAGTTGACTTAATGCTTTTGTTAAACACGATAAATACAATGGTATTTTAAACGATACAGATGTTTCAAATACGAAACCGTGAACGCTACTTGGGGGATATTTTTGTATTACCATGTCTGCGATTCAGTCGACCAGGGTTGACAAATGATACAAAATAGTAAGAGTCTAATCCCAATGAAAACCTTTCTCATCCCAATACAGACGCAAGGCATGGTCATATGAACATTCAATCCATGTAGTGGAATTGATTAATTAATTTTGGACACATCATGCGGTCTCCCATATCGCCAACAATGGGCGAAATTGCTCGGTTGTCAAGGTGAAAGAAATTAGGATGTTAAATGGTAATAATGTAAGAAATCACAAATAATAGTTCGGTACATTATAATAAACATCTACATGCGTATGTGGCTACGATAATACCGTCGATCCTAGTTTTGTATCGACTATACAACTATGAAAAGTCATGTGACATGAAGATGTTTTCTCGCAAAAATTGAGCGAGGTTATCATTTATAAGCATATAATCAGTACTGTATTACAGTTACTGTATTGTATCAGTACTTGTATTGAGGATGGACACAGAGAGTACAATGGTCGTTTCCCAAATTTTCCTTGAGATTTCAATTATGGCATTTGTTTGTTGTATCGCCAACGTAAATCGAAATGTCTGAGCGTTAAAGATGCGGCAGAAACATAGTGCCTCGCACAACTCTCGAACAACAGGGGCGAGTTAAATGAATGACGCCTCAATGGCGCTACCTCCAGGTGCAAAAATGAGAGACATTTATCAAATCGGTACTGACATTGCGGTCTTCTCCGAGGTTTAGATTAGTGCACACGAGCATTGCGGTGCACTGTCACTTATGGGATATCGCTTCTTGACAATAAAAATGTACCATACCATGGTGAAGTTTTAATTTTGTGGGGGGGGGGGGCAGCTGCAAAATACTTATTAATTCTGTCATTGGTATTTAATTTTCATTTGATTAATTTTATTTTAATTAGTATTAATCTAAAATACAATTTATTTATTTAATTTATAAAACACTTATCTTTTAACAGATGGACTTTTACACATACCATAATATTCTTGATGACAGGAAAGCATTATAAACATTAACTCTCAAACCAGCCTTATTTGTTCACTAATCATTTTCATTAAAAATATTATGAACCTTTCGAGTTGATGCCTAAACTAAACTAGATTTTGATTACATGTTGATATGGCATAGGAATTATGATAACAATTAACAACATTCTCTGTTTATTTCAATATTTTGCCCAAAACGAAACTAATCTAAGCACGTTTTGTTCAAAGATGGGTCTAAATTTGGTAAATCTGTGACCAAACAGATATTTTGTTGATAGAATTTTTCAAATACTTGAAAATGTTTTGAATGTTGCAAAATGCATATCATCAAAATTTAACAATCAAGTCAGAAACAACAGGTAGGTAATTCTTTATGGTTTAGTGTGTAAATTATTTAGTAAAATTTCACATAACTCCACTTTTTATCACACACACAAAGTTTTTATTGTGTATTCCCTTCACAAAGTTTCCTAATTTGATAACAATGAAATGGGAGTCTTAAATGGAAGGTGTTCAAAGAAGTTCATCACACATTTTTTATTTTTTAAATATTGTACACAAAATAACAATATAAGCAATTTTGTTAATAGGTCAATGAATTTTTGTTTCATTAGCTTTGATTCAATGCTGTTTTTTTAATATTTTTAAGGTATTACGGAACATATTTGTTTCGTTATTTTGTCTGATATTTTTTATGACATTTGTGGAACTTTTCTGATACACTATCTCAAGCTGAATGTCACAAGTTTTAATTCAGTATGTACCTAATAAAAAGCTTTTAATATGGTTCTATTGGGTTACTACTTTTCGCCAAGTCCCCAGATGCATACTGTTTAGTTCACGTTTAAATTCAACATGAGTTTAAGTGTACAGGCACTGAAAAAATGACATATAGCAAATAGAAATTTAGCAGATGCCATTGTTTGAGTCAAACAGTTTAAATACAAATTCCAAAGATTGAAGCTATGTGAATTATTGCTGATATCCTTGATATAGTGTCATGGTATTCTCAATAAAAAATTGTCACACAAATACACAGGCTTTGTAAGCAAGCAAACAATGGTCTTTTTCTAACACTTTGCAGAACAATGTTAAAAAACTTTGAAAGCATAATAATAGTTTATTTCAATTGTTTATCCATCAGTTAATAAACAGATGAGCACAAACTTTGTGTGGGCTACTCTGCCTCGGATCTCATTAAGTAATCTAGATTTTAAAATGTTTGATGTTATGTTTAAATGAATCATTTAGTGCATGGAAAACGAAACCATATAAGATATGACACTTTGAAACTGTTTTTTTTACATTTCACGCAACAAAAAGTTTTTTTTATTATAATAATGCTGTAATGGCATGTTATTAACAGATATAAATCTTTTTAATAAAATGGGATTTTAAATAAATAAAATGATGACACTTAAGGTCTCTTAAAAGATTTATATTCCTTGGGTAACCTGAAAAAATTATTGTTACGCAATTGCATTGGCTATGGCAGAATGTTAGATAGATAGATAATGATTTATTTCCGATACAAGTACATAATATAATAAGGCATAAAAATGTATACGGAAGGGGACGGGCAAGACTTCCAAGGTCAACAAGGTCGACCAACCCCTAAGGTAAGATTCTACCAAGACAGGACACTCTAAAGCAGGCATCATAATTACAATAGAAGAAATATAAATTTTTGAGTTTTAAGCCCGGTTAAGAGTATGTTAAATGTATTGAACGATATCTATCATATTATAATGTGCAGTATCCATCAACTGGTTAATCAAGTATCCCCCAAGAAACTGTCTACATATTTAATGCGCAGTTAGACCGGCTTTTAATTTGAACCATGCAGCGCAAACACAGACGCTTCCGCCATATTCTTACACCAACATCACACATTGCATACCCGTTCCCAACATTTTCAAGTAAAAGAAAAGTTTATGCAACAGCAAGACTACTATTGCTGGTAGCGGAAACTAATCCACAAATTTACCATGCTAGTCTACGATTATTTATAAAAATGAAAAAAATCGTTACCTTGTTACTGTCTCCAAGACTACGGTGGCTATGGCGTTCTGTCTCGAGGCAACTGTTGCCCAACGAAACGAAATATTCATCCGCCCTAAGTGATGTCACAATATAGCTAGAATTTGAATTTTATTTTTGATGTTTTTACTTTCATTGGTATTTAATAAAAAATTAAAGTACATTAGGATGCTAATTATTATCAAATGAAATATAATTCAGTGATTGTTGATAATTTCTGTCATTATGATTTCACCTCTTTTCTGACACGTATTCTTGCGCGACTTGACGGTTGGCCAGTTCATGACGTCACTAAATTTTATAATTAAGGTTTTATTTTGAAACTTTTTGTATTATTATGGATGATTTATAATTTTTTAAACCTCTGTAAAATATTAAATATTAGTTAATTAATAAAGGCTAATACGTGGCGATTTATTATTCCCGCACGCGGCGGCATTATCGCCATAGAAACCGTATATCCACAGAGATGATCTTTGTATTATTGGTTAGTACAGAACTTTCACTATTTGATAAGATAAGTTTGTCTGGTTACACGTAGATGTTGGGTATAGGAATAGTTAGCCAGTTGTTTGTTCTGGATGCATGAACTTGACGGAGGAAGACTTAACGAACTAGCGATCAATTTTCTCACACATACCGGTACCGGTAATCTGCGCACTGTAATAAGAGGTCAGCAGAAGGTGCGGGACAGTGTATTCCTGACGCTCAGCACGATGAGCCACACTGCCGAACTGTACCGGTAACCGATATAGACTAGTAATTGTACAATCACACTGATCCCAGTTACACCATAGTATCGTCTCATTTTGAAATTTTCTATATTGTTACTTCAAGTTAGTAGTTTATAATATTGAGTCATCAACTGCAAGCATGGCCCGTCCATCTAAACGACCACCATTTGGAATGGAAGATTATGATCTAGGTGCGCTGTCTGATGAACAACAAGCATCATTAAATATGTACAAAATAAAAACTAGAATGGAAAATGAGGAATATCTGAGAAAACACCCAGAAGTTGGGATTTTAATGACAACTTTTCTGAGGGAATTACTCCTACGAAGACCAAACAATGTTCGAGAGTTTGCCGCCGTTTATTTCACAAACTCTGAATTGCCATCTTCGACAAAACTGAAGCTTTTACACCTTGATAAACAGACATGAAAATAAAACCCGTAAAATGGCCTCAAAAACTGCTATACTGAATTTTTTTATATGCAATTACATCATTTCTAAAAGTCTTTTACGGGAGTTTCACATTTTTTATACAGGATTATTCTTTCCTGTAAATAGCTATTTGCTGTTGAAGACAAAATTGTCAAACACAATTTTTTAATGCACATTCAGCCTACTCGCACCGTATTTCTAAATCAGTTGTGCTGTTCATTCGCCCAAAACTAGTTTAACCACTGATCTATATGTTACATCATCAACTTTGAATTCGCATGTTCTTGACTTTATAAAATTTTATTTTCAATTCATGTAACTGCAGATTTTATGTAAAAACACCATAGCACAAAAATGTCACCTGTACTAAATACACCAGGCAACAAAAAACCAAAGATGTGTGTTTGGGCGGATTTATCAGTTCATGATATGGACCAAATCATGGAGGAAGGAAGCACAAACAGAAAGAAACAATTGCTCAAAACAACTCTAAAACTTGAAGAATCGCCAAGAAGTGAAATACTGTTAGATTTATTCCTTCATACATTACGATTTGCAAAAACACACAAGTACAAAAAAGACCAAACATCAGCTTTATTTTCAATCGTGAAGCAAACTCATGAAGTTTGCACCTCAACACCTTTTGGCAACATGCAAGAATGTTTTCAGTTCTTCAGGGAAATGATGTTACTACACTCCGTACATCGGCCACCATGGAGTGTCGAGCTTTTTAACGCACAACAACTTGAAGAAATCACAGCCCACGTGATCAATACTTTCTTTCGCCACTATAAACTTTATAAATACGCTTTCACTCCTAAAGTACGACTCGATTTATCGATAAATTATGAAGGACGAGCTCCTTCACCAGAACCTATCGATATTGATGATGAAACCGAAACTGACAGAGGTCCATCCTCAGCAGGTGCAGTTTCAGAGTCTCAGTCACCTCGCAGTGTAAAACCAGAAAGTCCAATTCCTAAGACACCAGAAGCTACGAAGGAAGAGCCAACAGAGTTAGAAATTGTGGTGCGAAAAGCTGTTTCTGAACAACTCAAGCAGATGCAGAAGAATGTCGAAAAGCAACTAGAGGATACTGACAAATTGATCAGTGAAAAAATATTAAATTTAGAACAAGGACCTGCATCTCCTAAAGGCAAGAAATCGCCAAAAGGAAGTGCGAAAGGAAAGAAAAAATAATACTTTTGTGTTCAAAATTTTTTATGATTTAAATTACAAATACAATCCCACTTTATGAGACTTTTCCTTGCAAGATTTATGGCAACACAGCTATATGTCCTATAGCTCACACTAAGCTAAGTTCCCAAAATATGATAACAACTCAATAATTAGGAAAAGTGCGCTTTATTATCAAAATTTGTTAAATAAAATTGTTTTAAAAATTCCTCTTCCAAGGGATGCACTTTTCCTACTATGACTAGGGAATGTAATGGATCTCCCATTTGTTCATATTTACAAAGTTCTTCTAAAGATGCAGCAACAATTCTCTGATTGTCTGATCCGACTTTCGATAAACCAACACACATTGTACTAGGTGAGAATTCTGAAAAAAAATATCGTTCGTTACAGTGTGGGTTTTTTTTTTTGAACAATCATAAATATGATTAAAAGTCTTGGAAGTCTGTACTAAAGTTGGCGCTGGTACACACACACGGACGTTAGCGCTGGTACACACACACTAGGCTTGCACGTAATTGACAAAAATCAATTCCGTAATTACGGCAAAATCAATTACGTAATGACCCCGTAATTGCGATATTTTTCCACGCATTTAAACCTATCGTAACAACCAATTGAATCCACTTTTTTTCCGAATGGGACATTGAAGTTGGGTTTTCCTATTCTTGGCAGTACTACACGCCGGCGGCAGATGTTAAAGACAACTATCAAGGAGTGAATTCAAATTAATTTTATTCTGATTTTTCACTTTTGTGTTAGCTTTGGTTTTTCTTTATCACCTTCGCAAATTAACCGTCCCATTTTTATGCGATCAATTTTATTTTATCATTACCGACACTGGTATACGGATATTTATGGAAACGATAGTTTTTTAAAACCACCTGAGTACTGAATAAAAATTACGGGTTTCTAATTTATTAACCAACAACGATTTCCTCGCGACGAAGACTTGTTTTTGCAGCGTTTTCTGCATCATCCGACAATACTGCCTTGTTAGCATTTTTATAATAATAATTATTGATGTCGACTTATTGACGATATTCCTTTTACCATGCTTCATTTTACATTCAATCATTTCGCGGACTGAATGTTTATAACATTATTTGCGATAAATTTAGATCAAATATTATTTATTTGCGTATAATTTAAATACCGAACTTATATGACATGCCTTCTCCGAAAATACAAAGTTATATCGCAAAACAATGCATTTTGTGACATTTATTTTACACTCACAACATTTATTTGCTAACTCAAGTCGGCGATCCTATCGGCCAAGATTGACAAAAGTTTGGTCGAGTGCCGGTGGTATTCAAGTCGACGATAAATCAAAATAAGTTGCCGCATTTGGTAAGACAGTTAATCATATATGGCCGAAATATTGAGAGGAATTGTGAAAAACATCATGAGCAAGGCCAAGTTCGGACTGATATATAACGATAAAACCGTTAACAGAACATCAAGATTTTGTAATAGAAAATGGATCTCGCGCAGAATAAACACACAGGCTCATATTTATTTATATATGATAGCAGTTAAATTTTCAACGGTCCGCGAGGAATCCGTCGTTTTGGTTCATTACGCAATCTCTCTTTTGTCGTCATATTGCTATTTGATAAGCGCGACATTAATTATCACGGCGAGGTATTGGCGCGAGTGATCAATCGCTCTTTTCGCTTATTTGGTTCCAATTCGTCGCGAAAGCTCTTCGTTAAATTTCACAAGATAGTCGTGTTGAAAGGTTATGGATATTTTACTGTTTATACCCCAAGTCTGAAATGAAACAGCCAAAAATAATATGATATTCCATGTTCATATATCAAGTGTTGATATTAACAATAAAGAATGGTTAGGCATTGCTAATCCACACTTGGTGGGGAATTCCCACTATTCAAACGCGTGACTATAAAATAGAATAAAATAGAAACGGAACATATATACCATAAGTAACGGAAAACTGGAACAAGTAAATAATAAATAAAAGTAAAATGGATACAAATGTTTGATAGACCATGTTTGATAGATTGATCTCCTGCGTTCATTAGTCATTTCACCCGAAGAAGTTGAAACCGGGCGTGTTAGCGTCCATCTGTCTTAACACAATTCTTCCCCCTATCTACGGTTATATGTACATTGGCCATGGCTATGCTAGATAAGATGCGAGAGAAGTTGAAACCAGGTGTGTTGGCGTCAATCGGTCTCAACGCAATTCTATCCCTTATCTACGGTTAAGTTGCGGGAGAAGTTAAAACCAAGTGTGTTGGCGTCAAACGGCCCTACTCAGTTCTTGCCCCATTAACTACGTTAATAATTTACATTGGCCACGCCAGATAAGTTGATAATAGGTTAGTAAATGGCAACGCGTCATGCCTTCCTTCACCTACGTAACAAGAGAGAGAAAAACGGCTGCGAATACCGGAACTCTAACTTCTTCTACTTGTTGAGCTTTCATTTTCGCAATCGACGAAATTGACTGCTTTGAAGAAAGCTCGTTTCAATGCAATAATTACGACTTTAACGTAATTCGTAACTTCCCTTCCGTAACTCCAAATAATTACGTAATTCCGTAAATCCGTAAATTACGTGCAAGCCTAACACACACGGTAGTTGGCACTGGTACACACACACGGGAGTACCCTAAAGTTAATATAAGTGGGCCATCTATGAATCAAAATATTTTAGGACTTAAAATTGTTTGATAACATACTATAATAAGAGTAGTTGGGATCAATATTCTTTCCATACAGCTGGGTAATGATTTTGCATAGTATATACTTGAGAAATGTGAACCACATCTCAACAGCAACTTCACTTCATAATTAATCAATAATTTTACATGAAAGTCTTATTTTTTTAATTTGAGGTAATTTTTTTGTTGGTTCACACATGAAAAAGAGAGACACTCAAAACGTCTGTAGCTAATGTAGTTGGAAATACCTTCCAGTGAGTGAGTGAACTCAAGTCAACATGATGAAAGATTAAGCGTGTTGGATTTTAGGGGATGTCGCACACGATATATGATATACAGTATATAAATTTTATCTTTAGCACTAACAAGTAACAACCATGGCTAACCAATCCACATTGTCAATAAGATGATGCTCCAGGATTGCTATTATCACAATTAAAACCACTCATTTAATCTGTACAAAGTAAGCTCAATCAGGTCCCCATGGAGTATGTTTTAGGATAAGAATGAAAAAAAAAAAACATAAAAGCACACATACCACAATCAGTTCTGTTCTTCGAAACTTCTGATAATTGTTGACATGCGACTGATACTGTCATAAATCTTGGTGGCTCATAGACTTTTCGACCCCTGAAATACAGAATATTGATGAGCATTTCATACTGAAATGGAACTGGTAAGGGAATAAAAGTTTGCCACATGAATAAATTGTTTATTGACGACACTGTAATTTATGATTAATATGAAATCATATTATACAAGAAATAATACGTTTTGCTAAAACAAACTTTTTGAATGTTATATCACAACTATTATATTGCATGCTTGTAAATATACTTGAAAATCCATGATACTTAGCTAAGCAAAAGAATTATTTGCAAAGAATGGTAATATAGCAAAAACTACAAGAAAATATCAATTTTTTTTTGACAAGACTATAAAAAAATATTGATATTTTTTGACAAGGTAGAAAGGGTAGCCTGAGGTGAAGCGACTTATGTTAGTCAGATGCATTTGAGTAATCCTATGTGAGTTTTATTTAACCATCTGCTAAGATTTCAGATTCGAAAGAGAAGATGACCAAGAAAATAGCTAACAATCAGGCCATCCCTTGCCGCATAGAAGTAATAATTTGAGTACCGGTAATAAGCCTGCAACTCCCGAAAATAAGTTCCTAAACTCGGTAAGACATCACAAGTTTCTTCAAAGCAAGACTTCTAGCCACCAAGTTAAAATAGCCTAAAATGGCTTGTTTCTTGTATTACTTTCATATTTTACAAGCCTCTACCTTTGTCTCAATTCAATACAATGGCATGCATTATAGCCACACTCCCAAACGCACCATGGCGAAAGTAATCCTAGCATATAGATTGGTGAGCCAACTGTCGAGTTTATTCCAGATAAATAAAAGAAATGCTTAATCAAAAACAACCTATTTCTACTACTTACAATATGTTGAGACATTATCTTTAGAATTCAGGTAAATTATGAAAAATAATTGCACACATCTCTTAATAAAAGAACATTCTAGTTTGAAACTATTTTTTAACCTCTGTCCATGACCATATAATCCCCAAATTTAAAATGTTGAGCAAAAAAATTCACTGTTAAATTCAGAAACAGTCCATCAAATGGTGATATGGCGTATAAAACAATTTTATAATACCTCATTAAATTTTCTATGGTTTGTTCCTTCATTTTGATATCAAGTAAACAAAGTGTATGAAGTCCTCGTTTCAAATTTGCATTTATTTTATCGCAGAAACTATCTGGTTTCCAGTTGTCTGTCCAGAATACGATTGAAACTGTCTCACCAAAGTTGTATAACTGTAAAATCAATATATCTGATGTGAGTTGATGTTTCATATTTCGCAAAAGATTAAATCTAAGAATAAATCTCAACTCAATCTCAAGCATAAAATTTTTTCCAATTTCTCCGGAATAAAAATACGAATGAAAAATATATTGATTTAGAGTCCTGCACTTGACTATATTGGCATCACAGATTTAGGACCCCATAGCAATCATCTGAATCTGGTTGTGGTGAAAAGTGCAGGCAAAGTCAAACTGGAAAGATCCCGGCCCAACTAAAAAATAGTCGCTACTAAAGCATCAGTGGCTGCTTGTCCACAGCTTTGTTCAGGGTAGAAACATGGTATAAACGAAAATCTATCAAGTATATGACAAACAACTTTTGGGATATAGCCTATGCAATAACAAGAGCTAGCAGTGAGCATGCAATATCGTGACCATAGAATATCATCACTGATCATTAGGGCTGGGAATTTCAGGGAAAACACTTTAACTGTTAACCGGGTAAGATTAACCGGTTAACCGTGGCGTGAAGTTTCATGTAATAATTTATCATTTTCATACGTCACAATGGTTACAAAGCCATATTGCTTGATCTTATCCTGGTATCGCTCAGAATTAATCACGACTCGAGATAGTTTCATGATCGCTCTGCTGCAAGAGATATGCAGCGTGGTGCCAACATATGGTAGTATTTTAGTTAAAACCGATTCCGTTATTAAATGTCATTTTTGTGACAAATTCTTAGTGTCCGATGTGCAAATTCTACTTTGAGATATCAAAAAGAAAAACAGCATCAACTACGCACTTGTTTGATGACATTGAGAATACGATTTTGCAATAAAATCGTGAACAAATTTATTCAACCGAAGCTGATTCTGAATATATCATTGCCAAATTTTCAAAATCAACAATCTTGGTACTTCAATTACTTTTCGCATTTATTGGGTTCTTAATACAGTTACAGTTTTTTAATAAACGCCACAGATGATAAATTTGTGATGACGTAATCATTTTTGGAGGAATGTACATTATAAAGATGATTGTACCCGAGATGTCATTTAACGGTTTAAATAAATCTTAACCATTAACCATCTAAAATCGGTTAACCGATTAACCATTCCCAGCCCTACTGATCATAGTTAGGCAGAATACAACAAAAAAATGATAATGACAACAAAGATATAGCATACAGATGGAGCCTTTGTGAAGGAATTAGCATGTTTGTGCTTACCTGAAGGCCACAGCAGCCAACAGCATTCATAATTGAAGCATTATGTATTACTTTGAAATCAATGTTATTTTCTTTTGCTCTTAATACCAAGTCACTGTGTGTCGTCGCCCTGTGAAATAGAAAATTTGGTGTTACTATAATATATCTTTTACTAAATGAATCTTATTGGACACGTTTAGTGGACAAAACGATCGTTTCAAAATTTTGTTGTTATTGTTATTTGTCTCCATCATTTTTAAAAAATCGCTTTTCTCTTCGAATACTCAACCAATTGCTTTGAAATTTTCAGTGGTTAAAGGTAAAATTTTTCTCCAGAAAGCTATTACTTTTATTTATTTCTAAATTTCGCATGAAATCTGATATTTCGTCTAAAATTTCGCTGTATTATTTTATCCATGGGAACACTGGCTGTCCGATTTGATTCTGTAAATTATTTCTACGCGAAACTCGGAATTTTTTGTGGGTACCGGTGGCGTCGAAGGTAAATACTGCTTCGCTCAGGTTAACGTGTCCATATATTTGAGCACAGCTCTCTTGTTATATGTTATTGTTACGGCTCGGAGGTGCCAATTGCCAAGTACTGGGAACATGCTTGGCAGAACAACTGTGACTACACTGCGAGACCCCGAATTTGTTAGAGACTAATTATCTGTGTTTAGGACTCCCTGTCACTGTAGAATGCTACACACCTCACTATTGCATATAATATTGTTTTTTAAGGTAAGACTCTTGGCACTCAAGAAAACATGATAAAAATGGTTTAACATGGTTCACTTCATTGACTATTTTTGAAATTTTAAAACACTTCTGTCTAGTAAGCCTGTCTTTGAAGTTGATGTTCGTGTTAAAAATGATATGTCAGACATTATGTCTAAAAAATCTCCAAGTATCTATACATTATATATAGAGAGCTTTCCCATCGAAAAACAATGAGAAAAAAGGTTTCAAATATCAACGAAAAAATTCTATTCAATGCTGAATTGCATATTTTTTTGATGGAATAAAAGCTTAGCCATTGTTGACACAATGTCAATATTCCATTGGCTGCTGCGTCATTTCTTACTCCAGTGAATTTTTTTTTTTGTGATTTTCATTTCGTGATACTTTTGAATTATTAAATTTTGGTCCTTTCCATCTGAATTAATCAGCCAACAGGTGTCGCTGACTCGATGACTGTTACAGTCCTTCGCGACCCCTTATCGATTGCGATGAATCTCTGACGTTATTTCCTATGTGTTTATTTCAATTTACATATAATTCCGTTATACACTTTAGTGTTGTGTCTTCATTGATTCTTGCATGATAAAAATAAATTATCTGAATCTTTCAATACTATAATTAAATGCAAACCACTGAATTTCAATAATGTTTAGTTCAATTTTACCGTCAAAATATTTTCATATCATATTATATTCATTTTACATTTGACCATTCATTTCCCATACCTGTGTATATGAGCGATCTCAAAAAACATTTATAAAATTTTAACGAACGTCTTAGTAAAATCTTATCAATTATTGAAACGGGAACCCATAAATACGTGGCATTAAAACCACTAGAACCACCTATGTTAGATCAATATAAAAGGACCAATTTGCTAATGTAAATAAATAGTCGTCCCTAAGGTTTTTTGTTTAATAAATCATGCATACGTAAAAAACATTCTAAATAATATCAGCACCGCATGTCCAGCCTGAATGTCAGAAAATTTAACAATAACAATGACAGAACAAATTACTCATGTTTCTATTATCATGCTATCCCCAGGCATGATAAAAAAATCACTGACTTGCAGATCACAAGTAATCTGTTAATCTTCAGACGGCCAGGAAGTATTGTGAAAACAAACAAAAATTTCAGTGATAAAATTTGTAATAAAGACTGCCATAATTTAATCTAACATAGGTAAACTACTCTAGTAGTTCCAGTATACGCAAATACTGGCAATAATTATGATGTAACAAAGTTATTAACGATGCAATTTGGTCATTTATTTTAGTACCTAATTTCTACAGATTTGCAATCTGTTTCGAACAGGGATTTTCTTCCAGGAATCCATGAATCAGAAGCAGCTTATATTATTGTATTCCTAAAAAAATATTTTGCAGAATTTAACAATCCAGAAAGACAGTAACATGGCGTAACCTTGTAATGTTATATGTTTGTAGTTCAGTTCAGTGTTGGAGTTGGATCCTTCTTTTCATAATAAAAATGCAAATTGTAAACTGTTCAGTGAAAAATGCTTCCTGTCCTTGTTAGATAGGTTGTCTATATCCTACCATTGTGTTGAGTTTAAATCTGTTTACAACCATCAGGTCATCGAGTGCAATATTTCAAAACACTTGAAACTCTGAACTCAGCAAGATGATGAATCAACAACAATCTACCTCCTTGTTTGCAGTTGGAATAATAAATCATTGTCAATTATTTAAATACAAAAACTAACAAAGAAATGGAAAAGTACACAATGGAGCTCAAATCAAAATATTAATTCAAGTGGAAATTCATACATGTGATGTCATGTCTGATGGTACTTCAATTATTAATGCAATCTCTAACAATTATTATTTCTAGTAAGAGGTGTTAGTTAGATAATTTGGCAGAACTAGCTGAAATTACAGTATGTCCGTAAATAAATTATTTTCAATTAAATTTGTGAACCTGGGGGGGTCTCCACTCAATAACCAGCCCCAGTGTAACTGTGTGATTATATTTTTCTCAAATATTGTATATATTTGATTTTTTACTGGCTGGAAAAAAAATAACTCGACCTGAAAAATATATTTTATTATGCCAAAGGCTGAAATAGCATTGCATTCATAACAGGCAACAATGAAAACTATCAAATCTTTTTTTAATTTATTTTAAAGATTAATTTCTTTCAACATCCTAAGATCGTCAAATTAAAAAAAATATCACTATCATTCCAATAATACTAAATTATCATAATATGCCATGACAGAGAGTGAGTAGATCAGTGGTTAGACAATCTATGGACTTATTCCAATTGCATTTTGAATACAATTTTTCAATTTGCACGATGTTTGATGAAACTAGACTGCAAAAATATACGGAGCTGTATTTTTCTAATAGTGTTTATAAAAGCAACCACAATCTTAATGAATATTTGTATGCTCGAGGCAAATATTTTTCCAAATTAAACATTTCTCATTAATTAAATGTATTTATTGACTGAGAAACTTTGGAATGTGTCAACACTGTTAATGAAAACTCCTTTTAAATCACAAAACAGAATTGGAATTATTTCGGCCTACCTATTATTAAAGTCAACAAGCTCTCTTATACTGACAATATAAACTTCAAATTTTCGCCGTAGAAAAGAAAATTCACAGATCTTTTATTACAATAAGGGATGTGAAATGGGCTTTTATAAATAAACCATACGGTTTCGCGATAATTAAATCTATATCGGTGCTGGTTACAGGGCCAACGCAAGGTACTAAAATATTTATAATAACGCGTTTAATCGTCTGCATTTAAGATCAGCGACAAATCATTTCCTGATGATATCATACGTCATGTCTGCGTTAGAAAACATTGGGACGATTTTGTAATTACAAATTTGTCATACCATACATGATTAGAATGGTTTATATTTGGTCCATATTTAGAAGTTCATCACTGAAGAATTGGGAATATTGATCAATGTACAAAGCAGTATCATTAATCAAAATAGTACACAGGATACTATTGTTGTAGATTTATTTATGAAATATAATTGAGTCATTATAGATGTATTTTAAGCAATTGTTCTCTGAAAAAAAAGTGAACAACTGAAGTACAAATTGATAACTGAAACAAAAAATCGAGCTGAAAAAATTCAACAACGATGAATGACTAATACCAAATAATCTACAAATACATAAGTAATTATTTTGAGTATGAAACATTGAATATGCGGTACTCCGGAACGTAGTATATGTACCAGGTTTGGGTTAGGCCATAATTCTATTCCAATTTTCCTTATTTTAGTTCTTTTATCAGTTCGAGGACTAGCCAAGTGACTCTCCTAATATTTGTACCTGAAATTATGGCCTACCCCCAACCTGGTGCATAATATACTATGTACCGGAGTCCGCCAACTTGGTTCATATACTTCGGGAGCGCCGATTATATTGTATATTGAGCCGTGTTCAGCAAAGAACACATAGAACAGAAGTCAATGTATATTTATTAATGAATCCGAATTTTGAATAGTGGAAAAGTTGATATAAAATATGATTTGAATGATTCTCTATTTTGACTATTTGACTTCTCTATTTTCTCTAATTCTCAGAAATTAAACAAAGACTTTTTTAGTTGATCTGTTTAATTAAATAGCTTGAAATGATAATTTCTATTGTCCATTTATTTGTCCACTACAAAAATTTTAAAACTATTAAACTCATGCAAATTGCTTTTCCTTTTCTAAACAGTCATTGCATGATGTGACTTTGTTAAATCATAATGTCTGTATTATCTGGAACCAACAAAATTTCGTAATACCATCATTATGACAAGTGACGACAATATCAATATGTGACTGCGGCAATTGGAAACGTAAAACATAGCCTGACAATGGTTGAAAATTAGTTAGAGCTGTAGACTATGATGTCTAAAATGAATTGAATATTCGATTACATTCAAAATTACTTACTGTATATTCAATATAGAAAATACCTAATTTTAGGAATAAATCAGAATATATTAATACCAAAATTTGTCAGTTTAAGTTATTGGCATCAGCAATCTTTCAAATAGAGATAGGGTTTCATTAACTTCTGATAACAGTAGAAAATAGGAAAACAAATAAAAGATTATTTAGCTCCTCTTCCCTGTAATGTACTATCATATTCCCATTTATATAACGATTATCAATGTAAATTTTTTCATTGAACATGTCTACTTTGAAATATATCCAATATTCCCTATTACCAAAAATACATTTTTTCGAGATTTTCGAAATAGATGATTTATCTGATTTTGGTGACACCTGGATGTGGTTTGATATCTCAGACAAAAGTCTTGAAGCCGTTGGGTCGAAAAGGAAACACAAAAAAATCTGTGAACTTCACAGAGTGGAAATAATATGGTAATAATAAACTGGGTCAGCAAAGCTGAACTTGAAAGATTCTGATTCTTTAAGAATAATATCTCCTTACATATCAATGGATTCTTGTGCAGGGCCTTATTTGGAGCGGAAAGCATGAATAAATGAAGTATAAAAAATAAACAAGATAAAGTCATGGCATAGAAATCATCTTTCTAATTGTTACCATTCAAAATAGAGAGTTGAGATCTGTGGTTAATTAAGACAGTGTGTCTCAACCTATGGGTCGCCTGAAAATTTTATTTTATTGGAGTGTTGCTTAATGGTAATTGTAAGTTATATTACGTGAGGAATATCAAAGCATAAAAATTTATCAACATCTATTATGCCTAATTAGGGAAAGCCACGCCACGATTTCAAAAAACTCATTGATGGAAAACAAGCGTGTTCTGACTTTAAAGCAATTTCTCGTAGAATAAATAGTATAAACCGGTATATAAAAATCATCGTCTTGTAGTTCGACTCCATAAAAACACTATATGACGTCTAGTATTTGAGAATATCCTTGGGTTGTCAGTTTTTACCAACTTTATTTTAAGAGAAATTTGGGTCACTCGAAAAAAAGGTTCGTAACCACTGAGTTAGGATAAGAGATGGTATATAAATAGCCAGCCTCTCATACACTTGAAACATGTGAAATAGCAAAACAAGCTTCACAAGAAGTGGCATTCATTCATGAATAACCACAACCTAGCCCACTCTATCTGCACAACAGTGCATTTATTGCTAACAATGCAAGCATATACTTCCTACCCAAAAGGATCTCCAACAACCAGAAAGGCAACATCTTCCTTGTCAGCATTTTTCAGTATTTCTGCTGAATCTTGTTCTACCATATCTCTGTCAGCAAGTATCACAGGACGTTCATAGAAGTCTTCCTGAAGATTAAAACAAATTTGCAATGGTAATATAAACTGAAGGAGGCAATGTCGGAAAATTAGTATGGCACAATGTGTTATACTAGCGGTTCTCAAACTTTTTATTAAGCCCTTTTTAGAATTTGCCAAGTCTCACACATCACCTCAAAAACAACCAGCTAATAATAAGCTACAAATAACAGATAGTAAAGTGAAATTACGTTTTATTCAAAAAAACACATTCAAAATATGTGTACATAACAAAGAAATTCAGACAATAAAGAAATATCCAAAATGAGATGGGCCAGATTGAATCTAACACATAATTGTATTTTTAAGTAGCTTCTCACCTCCTCAGAAAGCTGTCTACGCATCCCCCCCCCCCATTGTGAGGTTTACACCACCATTTGAGAACCACTGTTATATTATATGAAATTCAATATCATGTGCGCTTCACTACGTGAAAATGTGTTGGGTCAAAATATCTAAATGGGAGAGATGTTTTTTTAGTTGTTTTCTAAGTGGTTATAATATTTACAGTGTTTGTAAATCTTAACAGAATGACAATTTTGACTCACAATACTAACACAATTTACTGGGATAAAAAAGTTGGGTCAAAATATCTAAATCGGAGAGATGTTTTTTTAGTTGTTTTCTAAGTGGTTAAAATATTTACAGTGTTTGTAAATCTTTACAGAATGACAATTTTGACTCGCAATACTAACACAATTCACTGGGATAAAAATTGCTATTCAAATGATTGAATTCATATTGATTATTATAGTGTGGTATTGTGAATCAAAATTAAATAGCGTATTATAATAAAGATTTAATAATATTATTTTTAGCCACCAACAAACTACCAAACAAATAAAAAAAATTTTGGTGAATGAATTTTGGTAATGAAAATTTTTAACGTTAGAAAAATATAAAACTATTCCAAAATTAAATACTCTTGAAAAAATATAAAATATTTATCTTCAACTGACAAACATTATTACAATTTGTGGGTGGCCATATATAAGGCAGGCTAACAAAGAACATCAAGCTTCATGCATCAAACATATTACAATATGACTGGTACAACAGCAAAATCTCACGCTAACTAGAAATCAATACAAATTAGTTTAAAAGAGAACTTAAGTTCAAACCCAATTTAATTAGTCTGCAACTTTAATGTGAATTTTGTCAAAAACGAATTAAAGAATTGTCAATTCCATTACTGTCCTTACTAATTATGATAGTAACATTTGACTAGTGCTTTCAAAAATATGCGCCATGACACCTTAGAACACAATGAAACAATTCAGTGTGTCACAAAATCTATCTCCTATAAAAATATCACCTAATATTTGCTCACATATCGAACTTATTAACATAAACTGATCTAATACAGGGGTGAGCAACCTGTAGCCCACACAAAAAAATCGTGCGTTCCGCGGAGAAGTGCGAATTTTGAATGGTGCGTGTTATATGACCAATAACCAGAATTTTTGTGCTTGCAACTGCTAGAAAGCCCATGTTAATAATGAAGGTGTGGCCCGCAGTTATACATACAGATATTTGTATTTGGTCCTCCTATATTGAAGGTTGCACATCCATCCCTGATCTAATAGGTTGTGATTAACGTCTTTCACTTCACATTACGATAGTTATGTATACAAACACAAACAAGCCTACTGGGATGACTACATGTGCATATAAAATACAACTTTTCCTTGTTGTAGTTCATATTAATGTCAAATTTGTATTACAAAATATAAATCTGTCATGATCGTTAAGTTTGGGCAATCGTATTGCAGACTATAGAATTTTCTAATTACTGAACACGGTGGAAAAATCTGTCAGATTTTAGTTTTTTATTTAGAGACATAGCAACATAACGTAAGGATATAATTCTAGGGAAAGGGAAAACAATACATTAAACCACTTCCTCTCAATCCAGGTTGTGTATGGGAATAGGAAACATGGTGGGTTCAATCAAAACAAAGATCAAAAGCATCTAATCAGCACAAATAAAGGAGAGTCAGAGCTCGGCATGTTTAAATTACCGGTTAGAGTCGAAACGAAAGTCGTATTTTCAAACTCCCTGAAGTCAAGGGTCGAAATAGAAATTTTGGATTCTTGCGAGTCACGAGTTTCAACAGTTTTTATCAAAACTTTCAACAGAAGCTGATAAATAAGCGATCTCAAGAGATAATTAGAAAACGTTTGCATACATAACATAACGCTTGCAGCACAAGTATTTTTGTTACTCCGAACTTGTTTCATCCGAGTTGAAATATGGAGTGTGAGTTGGAAGTCTGGGATGAAGTCAAAATCTCAACCAGGAGTCATTTTGAACTGCCTCGGAGTTTGGGAGTAAAATTTTCAACGACACAGAAAATCACGAAGAATGCATGTAGTTAAAGTCCATAGTTTCATAGATATCAGTTTCGATTACCTATGGCTTCCCCTCCCCAGTAAAATTGTGTTCAACTTTGTCTCACAATTTTATATGAAAACTTTGAATTGGTTGGCAAAAATAAACTTGATTAAGACTACATATAACAAAAAACAGCAAACTCCATAAAGTCAGCTAATGTGAATTTCTTAAGAAAAGGGGGAATTGCACCAAACGAATGAAATCTCAATTCTAATTCAACTAGTAAAAAATTGGATTAGATGGAGACTGAATAATCTTGACGAAAGAAAACAACAAAATTACTACTCACAAGAGCATCCTTTCCAACAGTCAAAATAGATGTATAAGCTTCAAGATAAACTCTACTCGCAGATTTGACGATTTCTAAACCTTTGACTGAAATGTCTTTTGCATCTCCCAGTCCCAATCCTACTAGATATAACATTTTTATGCCTAAATATTGAAACAACAATATATATATGTTTAATAAACAGTAAAGAAAGATACTTTGTTAACAAGAAGTCAGAAGCCCACTTTCCTCAACATCACAATTTGAGCTATCAGTCAGATAAAGAAATAGCAAATGCAATTATAACATTATGATGTAACATTCTCAATGGAAAATGAACATGAGAAACAATTACCGGTACATAAAATAATCGAATAGGTCCACCAAGCATCTGTGAATATATAGGAGTTCTCTTATGACTCCAATAATAAAAGTAAATGACATGCGTGGTGTGGTGATAACTATAAAGCTTCAACATCAGCAAAGTTGGTTTGGTTCAAATTTTGAATTTCATCCCTAGGTCAACTTTCGTTCATAATCTTACTAATGTCATAATAAATTGAGTTAAATCAGGATAAACCCCCCAAAACAGTCATTTTAAACCCATTGTATATGAAAGGCAGTGGAAATATCCATCAGAGCCCCACAAAACCGTCCATCAAATATGAATATGACATTCCTAACTAATTCTAATGCAATCAAATTGATAGCATTACCTTAAAGATGATAACAGACATATCAGAAAATACAGAAAACTTGAATGAAATTTAATTTTAGAAATTGAAACAAATGACATAAATAGGCAGCAAAAGAAAAACAAATAAGGCACGAAGAAAAATAGTATTCTTGCAAGCACAAAGCTATACAAATGACTGTGAAATTGTATTACTAATATATTTTACCAAAACACATTAATCACATTGTCAAATATTTCTATTATATTTCAGAAGTATACCAAGACAGCTATAAAATTTTGCACTATATTTGCTGTACTGTTTTATTTTTGAACAAACTGTAAAATATAATCTACTAATCTGAGTAGATTATTAAGTCAGATAACGAATAAATTTAAATGAAGCACACCGATACCAAGCTCCCAAATGTATGAAACAAAGCAGTCAGTCAAAGAGAAATAAAGAATCTAAACCAGGATTGTCCAAAACGAATCGAATACAATAAAAATTCATTATATTCGATATATATTGAATTTTTAAATTTAGGAATAAGTTAGAATATTTTTATTTAGAAATTAGGAATTATAAGCCATCAGACAAGCAGATTAAAACATACAATATCTCAACTGGTAACACAAAACACAAAGAAAACCTTTATGTTCGTGTCGTTTCAGGTGTGATCAACATGAAGATATAGTGATTTATGTAGGAGAAATATCAGAAGAAAAAAGGAAGCAAATACCAAACTCTGTGGTTCGTACCATGGTCAACATCTGTATTTCAGGCAGCATTTGTAACATTTGAGTTGGAATCAAATGTAATACAGTTATGGCATAAATATACCCAATCATGACCAAGTTAATAGCCTACTCTTATTAATAGGCTGTAAAAATCACACTTGGTACTATTACAATCGAAGACCTTTTAAATATAAGTAAATATATTACAATCATATTATGAAACATAAAGAAGCGACCAGCGCTATCTATCATTACCAGAAAGTAGAATTTCTTTCCATTTTGAAAATCAGAGACGTTGAAATTTGACCGATGAATTTTGTTGAGCTGTGAGTCTGTGACTGTGATATTTACAATTACATACATCAATGTGACACTTCCATTAATAAAAAATAGAGGGATATGGAAGATCTGGGAACATACCAGTACGTAACAAATACAATGTGCACACGAAACATGAGAATGATTCAAAAAAGTTTTGAGCAGTGACACCTATAAGGTTTTAGAATACAATTCTAGTATACATCATTTAATTATCAACATGGTTGTAAATGATAAATGCACTAAACAGATGATTAAACAAATCGTGGTATTTTTAAGTTTTCGAATTCTAAGCAAATAAAGAATGATTGGAAACACCAGCATTCTAATATCAGGCCAATTTAAAATATTAAAAATATAAGTAAATGCAGTGTGATGTAATAATATACAGATATTCATCAAATTCAGAAATCCATAATTATATTAGTATATGTATGATATATCCAAATTGACTATAGAAATTAGTATGAGAAATTGACATAGTTTAAATAAAATTTTAAAAAGGTATTTTAGATTCAGAGTTGAATCACGATTAATGTCCAACGCAACTAAATTTTAGTTCAATTTTCCAAGTTTACTGATCCAATTACAGTACAAAATCCAAAATAAAAATTAATGGCCAGATAATAACCAATTCGATCACTCCTACATTTTGTGGTATTGAATTTCCAGGAAAGTAGTAAAATAAAAAAAGGTTTCTTTTCCAAACTAACTGTATGAGTATAACAATGGACTACATATGTTATTACAACACCAACTATTGATAATTCTATTGAATACATAAAATGAATCTTGGAATAGAAAAACTCAAGAAGAGTGATATACAGAACACCCGGAACCTATTAATTATAAAGAGAAAATGAAACACACAGGTGAATATGGAGGGCAAGAAATGAAAGAATTTATAATAACAGAAATTGATATATTATAATTAAATATTGAAGTTTTGTTACACTACTATTATAGAATATATTCTGTGTAGAATAAGAAAAAACAAATACATTGGAACCATAGCGTAATAAAACGTCTCACACCAAATATAAATGGTCTAAGTTATAATGGGTAGAGAAAATAGGTATTCCATAATTTAATTATAAGTTCAAATTATTTTTCCACCAATCTTTCATTTTAGATGTGAAAATACTGATTAAATCTAAATTCTTCTATAAAAAGATTTACAGAATTCTTTATTTACCTCACTGCCAAATTACTCATCATTTTGCAATTTCATTAAGTGCAATGTGGAAGTTAACATATGGTTCGATAATAACGAGAACAGGCAGCTCTACTGTGGTCAGTGTTTTGGCATGATAATAAAATAATATCACAATTACAAAAGTACAGATTGCTTGCGTAATACTGACCAAGAAGGGAAAAAAATATAGTAAGAAGAAAAGAGGAACATAAGAAACTAAATTTACACCAGATCCAACTATAAATGATAGATAAAATAAAAAAAATAAAAGTGCAGTACATATCAATCCAGTACTGTAATAGTCTTTTAGAGTCATTTATACATGACGAGTATTTCTGAATAAAGATGAATGATAGAAAATACTGAAGGATAATAATATGTCATTCCGATAATGGTTGAAGCCATCTATGCAGGAGGCAATTTTTTCCAAAACTATCATATATTAAATACATGGGTATTTCTATTGTTTATGATTCTATTTAAAGCAAAATCAGTGAATGACAACATGAATACCCTGGGTTAGGGTAAGATCGGCTCTATTGGCTGAGAAATCACAGCTGAAACCAAAGTATGATACAATTTGTGATGTAAAACCTTTAGTCAAGAAAACTGGAATGTACTATGCTAACAACAACAACAGCGTATGAAAACAATCAGTCAAGATTTTTTATTTCCTTTGCCTTTTTGTTCTTCTTTCTCTTGCAAAGCCTTCTTTTTTAAAGCCCTTTCGTAGTTATCAAAATCTTTTATATACCAAACCGGAGGCCACCTTAGTTGTTCCAAAATGCTTTGATTCGCTTGCGACATGGTCTTAATCATTTTTGATTTGCGGCATACATCATTGTAGTTAATAGTAATGTGATGGATGCACCACTCTGCAAGATTGTGAGCATTATGCAGCTGGGCTATTTCTAACATCATCACAATGCTTTCATGAAGATCACGAGTCATCGTTAAGTCACACTTTTTCTTGAATTCCTCGATAATATTGATCTCCAACATATTAATCAAATCAGGCAAGCAAAGTCGATTTGCGAGAGCAATGACGTCAAGATATTCAGATGGAAATAATAAAACAGTTTTCGTATAAAGAAACTCAAATACAGTTTGCAAACAAGAAATTGTGGAACCAGGAAGGGGTACTATTTTATTTCCACTTTCGACGAAAGGACTTCCAAACATTGCACTCATCAATTCAGACGAACAAACGAGAAAAGCTTTATGCGCTGACAAGTTTCCATCATCAGCTTGAAAAGTTATATCAGAGAAAAGCTCTTTTCCGAGAAGTAGTTTACGTATAGCATTTTTTCTAAAATGATCAAATTTCTGGAGTAATAGTTTTGATCCTGACTCATCATTCAAAACCACAGTGAGTAAATTAGACAGTTGAAGCAACCCAAATTTCTGACTTGCCAGAAAAAGGTCTGTGAACTGTTGGATATTATCTTTGAACCAATTCGGTTTGAGTACATCAGGGCTTAAATATCCATAATAACAGTAGTACAAAATATTCATGAAGGCAAACTGAGAGATATCTGGCGTTAGTCGTAACAAATCACAGTCGGTTTGATCACCCTTTGTTTTGTAGCTTGAAAGAAATGAAAAAGTGCTTTTTCGTTTATCTTCTGAAACTAAAGAAGTGGAGTTTGACTCAATAATATCTGGGCTTGTTGTGCAACTTTCAGTAGGTTCAAGTAAATCAGGGACAACCTGATCTTCAAAATTTTTACATTCAATTGTATGGCTTGACTCATTTTTAATAGTCACAATAAAAACGTCATTTGATGAATTGTCTGCCATAACTTTTTTTTTTAATAATTGCTCAGATGATTCGGATTCAGTTGTTCTATGATTAGCTGGGCACAGAGTGAATAAGCGATGAAGTTTATCCGAAGAAATGGCAAGAATAACCTTATGAGCATGAAATTTAAAATTTTCTCCAACAACAAGTAAATCAGAGTAAGTAGGATTATTGAACAAAGCAGAAAAATTTAAAGAGCACTCGGGAAGTTGAAGAAGCATTTTCGGCGGTTCTGGTTTGGGTGGAATCAATGGCCTTTGAAGCAATGGTTTTTGCACATGACGTAAATGAACATTGCGATATAAATACATCTTGCGCCTGTACATTAGTGCAGCACGAGCAGTATTTTCAAAAACTTCCTTAATTCCAAATCCCTTAAAAACACTTGTTTCATAATATGGACATTCAATTTCACTCGCCGTCTGACGACAAATTTCGGGATAGAGAATATCATTAGAGGATATTTTCTTGGCAAGAGTATTTTTATGCTTGTTCAAATCATCCAAATCTGCGAAACGAAGATCTATTTTACATCCGACAACGATAATTGGGACTCCTTTGCAATGCCGTCGAGCTTCAGGATACCAAAACGTTTTGACGCTATGAAGAGATTTAGAGTCGCATATAGAGAAACAAATTATAATAACGTCAGCTCTTCCATAAGAAAATTTTCGATTTTTATTGTGATCACCAAATGTATCCCATAATCGTAAGGACACATTTACTCCATCAATGCAATCTCTTGCTTTATCTAGAACATCGTTGTCATTTCTATAATGATCGATTGCCCATACAGTAGGTATATGAGTTCCGCCATATCTCCGATACTTATTGTTGGGTCCATATTGAGAGTGAGCTCTCGCACAAACCAGTCGTGTTTTACCCACATTATTATCCCCAACCACTACACATTTGATGTTTTCCTCACTCGGATTTTCTGTTGTTGAAGCCATTCTACGGACCTATCCAGTCCATTGAAGAAAAATGTTTTATTCATCCATTTGTGATGCACGTGCATTGAGCAAGAGTTTCTTTTATTGCTGTATTGTAACTAATTTAAATGATCTGTATTGTTTGATAAAAACATGTCAGGCTGTCAGGTCAAGTTTTCCTGGATTTTACACAAGAAGTAAGAAAAGAAAATAATATAACTTAATCATCTGATTGTCTTTGCGCTGCTGATCAGTGATCACCTACATCCTGGCATCAGCAGATCATTGGAATTGGCAGACTGCTTAGCATGCAGAAATAAATATTAAAATGTAGGGACAAGTCAATCATAGCAAGTTGATTATAATTCGAGCAAAACTATTATAATTTGTTCTGTTGTAAATCGGGTTCAACTCAAGATTCTTTAAATTAGAGCGAAACTAGTTGGTCACAACATTCCTTAGCTGTCATGCGTCATTCGCATCACAGGCCATAGCCAAGGGTTAAAACATATTGTTTTGATCAGACAATCAAGATTAGATCTATTGCTGTGCTTTATAGTACACTAATTTAGGAACTGAATTTAACATTATAAGTACGGCTCGGTTTGCATTAAAAACAGGAGGGAGAGACAAGACAGAAAATAACAGTATGTATCCCTAAGATATTGCCAGATACAAATAACTGGGTGAAACCGCTGGCCGCAACTTTATTTGACATGGGCCTTCTATAGTTGCAGACACAAAAAATTTGGTTACTGATCTTATGCTGATTTTGGAGTCGAAATAAATTTATCTTATCTACCTATCTGTAACATGCGTTGTTCGCTTCGCACAAGCTCAGAAGTACCGGTACGGTAGGTTTTACAACGCAAAAGAATTGGAATTACTTGCACATATTACTGCTGTACTGTAAAGTATTACCGGTACCGGTACTGTATTCAGGTATTAGATGAAAGTAAATTAAAAATTCGTATCGAGGGCCTCACACCATTCAAAATTGGCACTTCACTAGCTGCACAACTTTTCTTTTCCGGTCGCATACCTATGGCCCGCGAGCCGCACACCCCTACCGTACCGGTACGATACCGTACCTACGATTTAGGTGGATACCGGTATCGTATTCTTACTAGTTCCCGTTATTAGAAGGACCGTCCCGTACCGCATTCTGAAACCACATCGAGCTTTTGCTAAACTCAACCCAAAGTGGTTTATAGTCACTTTGACTCAACCCAACCCACTGCTGCACTGATCTTATTCTTAAGCGGACGCAGGCGTAAGAGCTTCTTTTTTTTTGTTTTTTTTGCCAAATTTAATTCCAGAGCCAATATGGAATTATTTAATTATGTTTTTGAAGCCAATTAAATTTTCAGTTTTTGTTTTATATAATTTTTTTATTTTTTTGGAAACCAATTGCATGTATTGCGTTCCAATTACGGTAATCGTAGAAAATTAAAACAGTTGTATAAACAATTAATAATACATATCAAACCCAGTGATGATAATCCATTTTTCGTCATATATCCGTTTGTATTGAAGATTGTCCATATTTCGTCATAAATATAGCATTTTTATGTACATATATAATTAATTATTTTATATTAGCATGGAAAAAGAGAAGGTTTCAAAAAATTAGACAGAAAATTCAAAAACCTATCATGCTACTAGATTTTCATTTAATCTGTCTATGTTATGCAATCATTTATATAGTCAAACCTCCTAAATCAAGACAATCTCAATTTCTTCAACTCATTATCGATTTTTGTAGTACATCATCAACAATTTCGTTAGATAATATTCTTTGCCTATCAAAATCTGACATTAATCTGATTACACCCAGGAGTTTGCATTTAAAAATAGCTCGCAAGTTACATTGCATTTGGAATACATCATCATATTTGACACTATTCCTGAACTCCCATATGGCTGATTTCCCACATTGAATGATTAATGATACCACTTCACTATGAATATTATTAGCAATAATTATGTCACAATTGATTTCCCTTACATTGCACCACTGCCAAAAGTCAATTATCCAATCACAATAACAAAATAAATGTATACAGGTTTCTTCATTTTCATTACAAAATACACATTGTCCATTCTCATCATCAAACCAATATTTTAATTTGTCCCCCGTAGGTAAACCATTATGTAAAATTTTCCAACTTAGAATTTTATATTTATTTGAGAGTTTATATTGCCAAATATTTGACCAGTCTATAGGAATATTCAAATTTAATTTTTGTGTAATGTACATATCATGCCGTGTAGCAATTTCTGTGATTTTCCTTATTTTCAATAAACTACTTATTTTTTTGGTGGATAAATTGGAGTTCATATATCTATCGATTCCAAGTCTGTTTTCGGGTAAATTATGATTTCTCGATAGAATTTCTTTCCAGCTAATAGGTAGATTGCCCCAAACCTGTTGGATTTCACTAGAGCATCTATTTAAATAAAAGAGCTTTCTTCTGTGATCCCCAATTTGATCAATAGAATATATTCTATTTGTTAAATAATGCAGAGTGTTATCCACAATATCAGCCACAGAAATGACTTTTGCTTGTATCCATTTGGACGAAAATCTATAATTTTGCTCTGAGATTAAGGGATTGTACCATAAAATTTCATTTTTAACCTCTGTAATATTAAAGGGATGATTTCTCTCCAACTTAATATCCTTGAATGAATTGATAATGGCGGTATAAAAATTAGGTATGGTAGTTACTTTGTCAAATTGGACTTTCAAATACAGACATTCCAAATTATCTTTGGAGAGCTCTGAATGAAAATTTGAAATGCAACTCAATAAGACTAATGTACGTAGGGTTGGGACCCGGGAAATCCCGATCCCGAAATCCTGGGATTTGAACCGTTTTTTTTCAATCCCGATCACTCAATTATTTCCTAAAAATCACGGGATTTTAAGGCTTTGTTATCCTGTAAATATATACCACTACCGTTATCCACATATAGATATTCTCACAAATGGTAGGTTATACCATTTTATCTAAATACTTATTTTGAAAAAAAGTCATCCACGCTTACAGTTAGATAGATAGATTATTTCGAAAACTCCATAACAAACATAAAATAAATAAATTAAAAATGGAGAATTCTGGAGGGCAAGCAAAACCTATAAAAAAAGTTTAAAACACGAGGAGTATCCTATTTCATGTGCCTGCCCACCAGCACGCACACAAAAACACAAGCCCAGTTAAATGAGACTTGGGCCAAACTTGACAAACAAAAAACACGATAGTATTAAACTTTCGGGCTGTTGTACTTTCAATAATTACGTTGATAATGACCAATACCTATGTGACGACCCTTGTTTTATCTTTTATATGATGTCATGTTATAATATTGCTATATTTTGTATTTTTAACACTGAAGACCCTGAGGGATCTGTGACACTGTCGAGCTGTCTTTTGGCTTGCAGCAGTGCAGTTGTGGTTGTTTTTTAGGTTTTTCTTGTGTCTGTTAAATTAATGTTAGTTCTCGAGAAAGGTACCCAGAGTGTTTATTTTTGATTTTATGGTTTATGACGGGTTTGGATGTTGTAATATTGCTCAATAGAATGATTTTATTGTTTGAGTGTAGTGCAATTGCAGTTGTTTTGCTATAGGTTGTACCGGTATGTTAGTCGTTGGTTGTACTACGGATTTGGTTATTGTCTTGTCAGTGCTGTTCAAATGTTGTGTATTTTTGTTGTACCCTTTCTGTTTTCTTGATTTCATTCGAGTATTTGATTGTATTAGGATTGTAATTTATAAATAGAACAAAATAGTATAAATTGAAGTGAATATTGGGAGGAAACTTGACGTCAGATCATATTGGAAGATATTCTGAACTTGGATAATTATTACATAGACTGCCGGTACGCTACAAAATTTGGCGAGACCACGCCAGGATATCTTCTAAACATAATATGTCACGCAGAAATAGAAAGAACGCTCAAATGAAGGGAGAGGATGACTTAGTTGCTCGAATGAAGGTACTGGATGCTAAATGGACAACAATGGAAGCGCGAGTAGAAGGGATCGAGGGAGCAGTAAATGAACTTGGGAATGATGTAAAACAGTGTTATGACAGTGCGATGGTACTTAATCAAGATGTGAGAGATTGGCGAGAGGAGCTGCAAGTGACACTGCATGGTTTTCAGGAGAACGTGATTGAGACATTAATGAAAAGCAAAAGTGCCGGAGTCGGTTTGAACGAATCCGGAGGAATAGCTGAAGAAGATGGCGGAATGGCACCACAGAGTTATGTGATGAGGGAGGACCAGAGTGACAAGGCAGAGCACACTGAGTCAAAAGTTACACCACCTGACAACAACTGCGGGAGTGGACCGATGCCGGAAATGCAGTCTCCACCTATCATGCCCAGGTATCCGGTTGGTTTTTCTTCCCCTATGACAAAGGGTTGTACTAGTGCATGTTGGATTATGTTCAGGCCAGAAAGACAGCCGGAGAAGTTTGATGGATCGGAGCCTTGGGGCTCATTTCTGTACCATTTTAAAGCTATATCCAAGTCTAATGGTTGGGATATGGACACGATGGGTAGCGAATTGGGCCTTTGCATGGTAGGCAATGCCCTGAGTCATTTATTAGAATTGTCTATGGATGAGCGTGAATGTGAAGTATGTGAGAAGTATTTTGAAGTGGAAGGTGGTATTGAAGCGCTTCGAGCCGCTTTTAGTCAGTGCGTGAAGTTGCAAAGCAAGGGAAACCTATAATGAATTTGGCGTTGCATTGAGACAGCTCGCTAGGCGAGCTTATCCATACTTGAGACCCGCTGACCGAGATGACTTGGCAAAATCGCAATTTTTGCGAGGATTAGACGACAAAGTTCGTTTGCACATTGGTCTTTTGCAACCCGCCACATTGGAAGATGCAATGTCGTTGGCTACCAGATATCAATATTATGAGAAGTCATGGGAACCCGCAAAAGAGGTGATCAAACTACTGCTACTGTTGCAAAGATTTCTAGCGATAAGGCCGAGGTGACATTTGGAGCTGATATGGTCCAGGAGATTTTAAACCGCCTGGCACAACTGGAGGCCTTAGTTGCGGAAACGTCGAGATCCCGCGTACTTCTCGTACCTCTTGTTTCAGATTCGGACAGGTGAGGCATAGGATCAGTGATTGTCGCAGTCCACACCATGTCCCCGCTGTAAGCAAACGGGTCATTGGGCTC